CTTAGGAAAGTACATCCAAATCTTCTTGGCTGACGATTATAGATTACCTGGCTGGTATATAAATTCCACATAATCTATTCATACTCATCATATTACTTTTCTCGTTAGAAACATAAACTTAAGTCATCAAATCTTTATTTTATGAAAGTAGGCTACATGGAATTTATATCCATCGAACAACCTATCCATTTATGGTTATACGAGATCCTTTTTTTCTTTTATTAAACGATCTCTGTACGTCCTTGTAGGTTAGAATCAGGATCATGTACACAGGTTTATTTAATCGTTAACAATACGAAGAACAGAAAGCACACAGGACTACACATGATCGATGTTTTCATCATCGTCGTGTCTTTGTATTATAATTGCAATCTTGATGGCCTTAGAGAAACGTTTGACTCACATGGAAAGAGCTCTTACTATACATTATTTATATGACTTATGGCGGTTGACTCTCATTTGTGGTAGAATCTAGTTTTATAGTCACAATGTTAGTAAACTCATTTCTTAAGCCTTTAGTTAAAAACTGATATTCCAAAATTAAGTTCCGACAAAAACTTATACCCAGTGCAGTTAACTCAGTCGGGAGTGGGATTTTAAACTTAAAATTGACATTGGCTGAGGATCGTGTTACATAACACGCTCAGTGAAATTATAACATGAACCATTCAATTTTGGTTCACTGGTATAAGTACTACTGTAATTGTTACGGAAATTGGAATTATCGGGATTAACTTAAGGGTGTATTCGGGTGCACACTAATGACGAGTCTAAAACTAGGATGAACAACTTGGTTATTTCTGCTTTACAGCGATTTTCTAATTGGTGTCAGTTCTTGACGTAAATTAACTTTACCTACAGATATGTCATCTACATTACTACCAATATCAATTATATTCATAGTACTGAATATTTTGGGCAACTATTGTAGTGTAACACATATTTTAAGAAATTTTTTTATGAGTAAGGTATGTACCACAGTTTGTTTCAATATTCATTTATGTCAAACTATTGAAGAAGGCGAACATTTGTAAAAGATGGTTATATAAATTCGAAATGTCAAAGAAAAAGAGATTTATGGTATACAACATTATCCGATAAATAAGTGAACAAACAAAGAAAATTCCAACCCCAAACTTCATATCTACGTAGATAAGGAATTTCGGTCTAGAATAAAATATCCAACAGACAATTATGTAGATAACGCATTAATTACAGTTGTTACCAACTATAATCACCACCACAACATGTTTAGATTGGATAATAAGTCAACATGAACAAAAATAACCAGTGTGGTGCAGCGCGTACAAATTGTTTAAGCTTCCCACTTTATATTTTGATCTCGTTAATCGCTGAGTTTGTTTTTAGTCAACCGGAACCCTCTACTTCAGCCAACGCATACAATCGTTAGGTTGGCTATTTGGAATTCGAAAATTCAACAAACCTGTCATGAATACAGGGTAGACACGAAAGGCTTCATGAGATTTACTGAAGACACTTACCGATTAAATTAAATCCAGTGATGCTATATTTGTTTTCAACAGATCACAAAGTGTTCGTATCTCCTTGGAAAATTCACATCACTTTAAGCATCTTAATCACGGTCATAACTTATTTCTTCTACATAACTAGATTAGGATAACAGTTAATATTAAAGAACTAGTTATAGTGTCTGTTTAGCAATGACAATGCTGACCAATCATTAAATTTAAATACGGATTTTTGAGTAGCTAATAGGTAGATCAATTTCATCCGGTGGCAATTCGTCCTTCTATCTCAGGAACGTGAGAGACGTTTAAGATCCATCTGAGAATAAATTAGCTGAGGTTGTCCATCACGCTCCAACGTTCAAGTAATGTTATATTCGGCCGCTTATCCGTTTAAAAAATGGGTGAGGGCTGTATACTGATATAACTTTTACTAGAGATTCCTTCATAAGTCCCTAAACCTTAATTGATATATTTTTCATCCTGTATGTTGGGTTACAGCTCACTAACATCTTCATAACACATAGGTGCAGATATCTCCAGACGCTTGAATTAAAACCATTACACTCATATGTGCAGCATCCAATTAATATGTAAACGGAAAAGTGACCGGAAGTCTTAGATATAAGATATTACTTGAAAAGTGAGAACGCGACGGCTAAATCCTAATCTGCAACTCATTATTCTATTTTACTTCGCTCTATGATCTTACTAAAGTTTTTTATCCTCCCTATCACTCTTTACCTTATAACCCACAATTTGTCATAGCTATTCGACTGCTTCCGTTATTTGAGAAAAAGTCTGGCCACTAATACTGTTTATAGATGCTTTTATGATTAGTCAGATCATGTTCACAATTATTTTAATGACTTTGTGTTTAGTATGATTGTCGATGAGTTAACTTGGCTTATCTTTGAAATTGTTAATCCTTTGCATATTTCCCGTGTGATCAGTTGCGTTATGTAGTATGATCATGAAAAGTATGTAAGCCAATGAAATAAATTAATTCGTACATATCTTTTTGAGACGATTTCATTTCCGCAATATGAACAATCGTATATAAATGAAGCAAACAACAAAGTAATAGTTTTGCTTGCTTGAAAGTCCATAGGGGAAATTTGTTGAGGGCAGCAAACATTGGTGGATGAACTAAGTTAATAAATCAATCATCAAGCCAGCAAGAAACGATAAAGGTCAAGGACATAAAAAGTGAATACTTATGTTAAAATAAGTCACGTAGGTAAATGAAAATTTTTTAGATGATAATGAAGTTTGATTTCATTTGATAAGAATGATAAAAACATAACAAATGAAATCAATTAATTTTAACAGGAAACCCTTGAACGTAATATATTAGGGGATAACATTTTACGTAATTTAAGAAAGCATCGACCTAGTCCCTTCTATACATTTAAATTTCCTTTAGTGTTTCTATTTATTTTTTTAATTAAAAATTTCCATAAAGTCCAATCCTTCTTATTGCACTCCATTCAAACATCAACAAGAAATCACTAATTACGTTAATCGAATAATTTGTTTACGATAGCCTTTATTTAAAAATATGGACAAAATCTTTCAACATTCAAATGCCTTGGACAATTTTCCTTTAGGATTTCATAGAAATCCCATTCGGTCTAATGACTTACTTAACTTTGTTTATCCATTAGTAGAAACTACACCGCATGAATTTTAACTATAAAGATTGACAAATAAACTTGTCATAACACTAACTGTTTTACATAACTCCGACAATACAGCTTTTAAAGGTGAACTGGTCATTAAAATATTTTGTTTCATTGAAATGTTTATTTCCTTTTAATGAGCATAATGAATTTATAATATCTATCCCAAATTAAATATGTAAAGCTACACTTTTAAAATGGAGTTTTTGCTTATGTGAGAGACTAAGAATATAGGAAATATGGTAAGTTTACTGCATCCGACATTGTATAGATTTACAACTGTGCCGAATTATTGGTCTAGAAGTTTATCTTATTGATTCAAGAGACAGCAACTGTTATCATTAAAATGAACTCAAAAAGAACTTTAACATTCTCATTTAATCGGTCAATTCAGTTTTGATGGAACTTATCTTTTTATTCATCCATGTTGCAATTAGTAGAGGTATAAGTAAAGACGGTGAAGAGACAACGAGGTGTATTCATGTTTTCCCGATTTCTTACTGCGATATGCAATTTGACAGAATATGGGCAACTGTTGACGAGAACCCAGTCCAAGAGAACATGTTCTGCTTATAATATTGACGTTAAATCTACACTCCCAAGCGCGTATTCAGTTGTTATTAGGCATTCACATTTATGAAGGGTAAGTAGCGTTGGCTCTTCATGCTGACGATACGACATCAAGTAAATGAGAACGATTGGATTCTATATGTCTTTTAAAGACAGCATCCATCGATGGGATGGGTTTCTATGGTATTAATTAGTGAACCCTGTCGCCCGATTAGCCACAAGATTCGAAAATTGAAAACTTTAACATGTAGTGAGTGTGGTTTCAGAGCACTGAAATAACATATTGTAGACTCGAATGATTAGCACTGACGGCACATGTGGAAGAAGTCGAAGACAAATGATTGATAGTTAGAATAGAAGTTTTAGGAGGTGAAGAAAGAATAAGGATTACTAACAAGATTATCTCAAGTGTAACTAAAGGTATTATTATTAATAGCTCTATTCAATGTTATACTTTTGATGCAACAAACAGCATAAAGTATTTCAACACGTATGAAGGTGGCCCTCATTTCCCTGACACACACTGTCAATAGCTACTTCTTGACGTAATAGAAAAGGAACTAGGTTACGGACAGTATTCGACTTTATAATTGCTAATTTACGTATTACCACTATCCGACTACTCTTCAAAGGATGGTAAGAGAAAAATGAAAACGTATTCCATCCGAAATAGCTAAACTGGATCCTAAAGACGGAGAAGCCTGACTATTAAATCAAAATAATAGCTGACGTAGAGTAACCATCAGTTATACGCACTTCGGTGAAATTTATTTATGGTTGCAGTAGAGGGATTTGTAAAGATTATTTACTTTGCTGACTGATCTTAGTCAAACTTTTAGTGAAAACCAGGAAGCATTTAATAGGAGTTTTGCCCTAGTATAGGACTCGTCGACAATATACGTTGACTCGTCAGCAATGTGCATCAACCAGCGATAGAACCTAAGACCTACAGCTCTTGGACAGAGCGCTCAATATTATTTGTCTGGATGTTAAATTGGAAGAGTTTCAATCACAAAGAGGAAAATAAATGTCAACATGTCATTTACCAAGTTTGTATTTTATTTTATAAATTAAAGAAATACTTTACCTAAAATAGTTGAAAGAAACTAGTTTGAAAAGTTACATCATCTGGAACAAAAAATCCTAATAAACAAGTATAAAAATAATTCATCTCTAAAAAATCACATTAAAAAAATGTATACACATATGAGCACATTCAAAACAAGACATTTTAAAAAAAGCTATGAGCAAAATCTTTACATTATTCACTGGTATTGATCCATTTAACAGTATTTGAAGGTAAAATCTCATAACCACCAATCATAGCTTTAATAAAAGAAAATAATTTTTGAAGGTTTGTTATCTGATTTGAATTATTTTCTGGCAGATTATGCTGACCAGTACAGCCGATGATGATCAGTTTATGCTGAGCACGAGTTAAAGCAACAGTTAGGCGAGGGAGATCATCGAGTAAGTGATTTCGATTTGACTCATTACACTAAAATATTTTGTAAAATATTGAAAATAAAAAAAAATCAGATTAGATTATAGAAAATATTGATAAAGGTTATCGTATATATGAATGCATATATGATCTTTAAAATTTCAATTGTTGTTAGTGATTTGAAGCAGAAAAATAAGTGAAAAACTTTGGACATAAGAAAAAAAAGGAGATTGTGAGTTCGACCCACATTCAACTTATTTTGGTTTAAAAAGCCAGGAAGAATATTATTTTCCCAATTAATCAGTGTGATTCGAAACCGAATACATATATATATATATAAACTTAGTAAGCAATTAAAAGAAAAAACAGAAGCTTTTAACGGTTACAGTTCTCATAAGACTGTATATTAGACAGGAAAATTATTGACACTTCAAATAATCGTAGTAGTGAAATATAATGAATCATTAATCTAATTTCCTCTGATGATATAGTCTAAATGACATTCTAGCAAAAAATTTCTGTTGCATCAAAAAAATAAATAAAAATAATCCATAACCGTAAAATGTCCCTAGATAAATTCATATTATATATATATTAGTACCAGAAATCTATCCATGACTTATCTTTAACAAATATCACATTAGGCCAATTGATCCTATGACAAACAGACCTAAAAATAAAATCTACAGATGATTTTTGTTATGATACAAAAATAAATAGTTATTTATTTATTTATTTAAACACATAAATATTGGTACAAGGAAGCACCAGATAAATACGCGCCTCACAAATCTCATTCGAATTGTGTGGGGGCTGTGGTACTGCTCAGATTGAAGCAGGTGGTTTTCTTAGGGGGCCACACCCGGAGACATTGACCTAAAGGTATAGTCCACAAGGCAGTGGAACATCGTAAGGAGATGCAGTCCCATGGTAGCCGGTGACCGACAATAGGTTTATACGCCATTCGTTCCTTCAGGATACTGGAGCCCATGTGCACCATTGGTTTGGAATCAGGGTTTTCCAACTCCCCTAGGTGAACCTTTCGTGCCCACCAACCCGGTTAGAGCTCCGGACATTCGCTTTTCGTCCTCTCACTTTTGTGAACAACACCCCCGCCACGCGAAGGCAGTGAGTAGGACTTCCCTGTCAGAGGCTATATATTCGCGTGGCCAAATGAGAGCATTTCGAGAGGGAGAGCAGACTCTCCCCACTCTCGGCCGTACCAGGGCATTTGGGGGCCACGTACATTTCGATATAACGGGCATACCTATAGATGGTGTTCGTCACAGACTGATCTTATTCAGAGAACCATTGGAAATCAAGTAGCGCTACAGAATTGTTTTGATCTAGTATCCAACTCCTTAATAGTGCATTTACGACTATGTCGGGAGTCGAACTCAGGGCATACATGTCAAAAGACTAATCTGTGACCAATATAGCCAACAAATTAAACTGATCTCCATAAAACTAATTCAATTAAAGTGAGTATTTGCTGTAAAATAGAGTAATTGTATAACCAAATAATACGAAAATAATTTGGAATATGCATGAAAACAAGGAATAGCTAAAGAGAGTCCATGAACACTTTTAATGAAATCATGAACTTCAAAACACTTTTAAATTGAGTATCGACACAAATGTATTTTAACCGGAAAGTAAACAAATTCATGACAAAGAATTGTATGTCGTAAAACTTTAGAAAAATATACAAAAAAACAATGAAACCATTTTGAATGAATTTATTGAAAATTCAATAAGGTTACCTCATTTTCACTTGTTCTTAAAAATGAGGATGGACAATTGGTAAGTGAGAGTAAAATCAGCTTTTTGTCACGACCTTGAAATTGGTCAACTGTATTTACTTCAATTGTTCCAAATGAATTCTCTTTCATCATATTTTTTAATAAATAAACTTGTGCCCTGTATGGTGTGATAACGCCAATGTCTTCCATACTGAGAAGAAACTATAGGAGTAGAAATTGATCAGAACAATAATATCTGTTGATAAATGTAAGTGGAAATGTAATCTAATGTAACAAAATTTATAGAAAAGTAACACACAGCAGTACTACCTAATATTAAACAATTATAGCAAAAATGGTAGTGAGAAAGTTTCACTAACGAAATATTGTTTCGATAACGTTTATCCGCGTTTTTCACAAAAGTAATATAAGAAACAGTATTTATGTAATGACTTTTAGTATATAAACCGTTGACTGCTGATCTGAGCCGTCTGGAAAGAGGTAGACTACTTCGTTCGGTCTCACACAACAACCGCGATAAGCCTTGAGAGAATTTGGGTGATATAGGTCAGAATCATTTCTAATGGATTCGCTTTACCTTACACTCGGTCTAAAATTCCAGTATTCTCTCACATATACTTTTTCATTGTTTTTCCGAATCACGATATCAGTGCTTAGCCATTTTCGTAATCATTACTACCAAAATAATAATGATAACATCATCTCAAACTCTTTTACCACATATTTCGTTAGCTTTATTTTATTGTTCTAATGTGGTATATATTTATATATATGCCGGAAATTAGATTCTCGCTTTCTACTCCTAGATACGAGTTCAGTTCACTGAAATATGTTTTACACAAACATCATCAGGTTCAATTCTACAATGATATAACATTTAAAAACATTTTACAATTCGCGGAATGATTAACTTACTACATGATGGATTTGCTTTATCATTACTACCAAAATAATAATGATAACAATAAAATCCGTTTAGGAATGAGCCACACTCTAAGTGTGAAGACTAATGATATCAACCGGTTGTCTAAACTGAAGTTTATTTATTTATTTAAACACATAAATATTGGTGCAAGGAAGCACCAGATAAATATGCGCCTAACAAATCTCATTCGATTTGTGTGAGGGCTGTGATACTGCCCAGATGCCCAGACTGAAGCAGGGAAGTATCTGGAGCGAGGTCCAAACCTGGTTGAAAATCAAAAACCTTAACCACTAAGTCACTGGTACATCATCTCAAACTCTTTTACCACATATTTCGTTAGCTTTATTTTATTGTTCTAATGTGGTATATATTTATATATATGCCGGAAATTAGATTCTCGCTTTCTACTCCTAGATACGAGTTCAGTTCACTGAAATATGTTTTACACAAACATCATCAGGTTCAATTCTACAATGATATAACATTTAAAAACATTTTACAATTCGCGGAATGATTAACTTACTACATGATGGATTTGCTTTATTATATAGATAATTAACTGAGCTTCAGTCGGATTAGAATTTGATGTACGAGATTCATTTGCAGAAAAGCTGCAACAATCAAGCTAATGACGTGGAAAGAAACAAAGATTCATTAGAATGTCAGAACTCATAATTTCAGCAACGCAATAAATAGTTCCAAGTATAAAAATGAATAGACCACACTTTATTTCATTTCCAAGATTAGTGCACATGTGAAACGTGTACAGAATATTGGGTGAAATGAATACCAAAAAGTCTATTATTTTTACTTTAAAAAGTACTACTTATCTCGTTTAAATATTAAAAACAAACATTCAAAATCTCAGCGGAGCCCAATAACTAATCGACAAAAGGTTGAGGTACTTGATAATAGCAGAAATGAATGCAGAAGAATTTTGATATATTAATATTACGGCTGACGGAGTAATTACGAAATTGTTTACATGTAAAGAATCATAGAAATATTTTGCATCAATAAGTGACAATCATTTTTGACATTGGTATCACAGTGCCATTTATTGTTACCGGGTTAATAAACCCTAAACTCCAGATACTTCCAAACAATTTTCATGACAACATAAGATCAGTAACTGATTCACTTTGGCCGAAAGCTAGTAAAGTTGATCGGCGGACCAAACCGCTGTTTTTTTTCTTCAAGGTTCAAGTTAACAGAAGTATGGATAGATTTTATTGATTTGAGCTAACGGAAGCATTGTACAAAAACACTCTGAAACGATTTAGAAAACTACCAAGTATTTGATTAAGTAAACTTTCATTTCGATTAGCGCATATTGCCCATTTCTGAATATCGACAAAATGATTTTTTATTGTATCGGGAACACAATCTAATCGATATGATTAAGAACAGAATCTATATTTATGTTATTATTCAATCATAGTACAGATAACATTTATCAGGAGAATGAAAGTAGCCGATTTCAAATAAATCCTATCCATAAGTAATCTTACTTTAAACCATATAATGTCAATATAGAATGGATTTATTGATTAAATCAAAAAGAGTACTTACCATCTTTGTATCTAAAAGCAATACAGAATCCGAAATAAGTGGACTGCTTACACGTTTTATCCATAATGGCAACTAAGAAGAAGATAAATTTTTTTTTAAATAAAAGAGAAAATTAAATTAAAGTTTAAGAATGAATGAAAATGTCTAATTTGGATCATTTTAGTTTTGTTTCCTTTTTTTACATGTAAACATGATAAACTATATAATTTAGTTGGTTATCATTTTAATGAATATCATTTTCAAAGTATAAAAAAAGATTATACCTTGTTCAAAATGAAGTAATAAAAAGAAGTGACAGAAAATCAATGCATTTCTAAATGTTACAGAATAAAGCACACATTTCAAAGTATATTTTTTGGAGATACAATCTATGAATACACACATTTCCTATGTATATTTATTGAATAGTTAAACATAGAATAACATACACTAACAAGTTACAAATTTGTAATACAATAGAATTCATGTTTCATTTTAGGAAATAAATCAATGTTTTAAGTTGATGACAAAATAAAACTAAAAAAAAATAGGAGAGAGAAATTGTGGTAACACTTACGTCTGTTTATATGGTTTGAGGTTAATGAGCAATCCTAAAACATACTACTGTTAACGTCACCCCATAATATAAGTAGTCAATTTTGGGTGAATACCGAATGAACAACTCTTGTGGTGGGAGTTACTGATATCCACATAAGTAGTATGTGGTGATGATCGAGCATTGAATGTATTTCAGTAGATCGATAAGGAGAGAACGGGAACGGCACGCAATTGGTACAAAAATGCATGAACAATTATAATCAGAGACTATGGACCGATATTTGCAGAACAAACAGTCAAATTGAGACAATTGATTGTTATTTTGCAAATTAACTGTTGACTGTATGGTTATCAGAATTTAGTGAAATAGTCTGTAATTCGTGCTTAAATACATTCGATTCTCCACACCCGTGCTCTTGTTCACTACGCTCTGATGTCACCTATTTATAATTTTTTCTGCTTGGTCTGCTCGAAAAAGTTCATTAAATAACGCGCTGAAAACTACGTACGTAAATTCAGCTTGTGGCTCGTAACCAGGATGAACGTGTGCATTTATATTATATCTAGTTAGATTATCAATAATCTATAGTTTTCTAGTGCAGACTCATATTTCATTACAAAGTTGAAATCATGAGTCAATTGAAGCTAGACCACCATCGAAAACCTGGAAGCACTGGACGGCCGTTTCGTCCTATTATGGGACTCCTCAGCAGTGCGCATCCACGAACCCGCTCTCGCGAGCGAGATTTGAACCCAGGACCTACCAGTTTCGAGCCGAAGCCCTTAACCGATAGACCACTGAGCTGGCATCCAGCGGTGTTAATGTCTAACTTCAACTGATCCACGAAGATGAGCAACCATTCACCAATTGTCTTCAGTGAGTTGATATCTCACAACAGACGTGGTTGAACTCCACTGGTCACTGCTTCCCAACTTTGAAATATACTGAAATCTCCACAAACCCCTTAAATATAATCCTATGCTCACTAGTGACTGACTTCAAGATACATATCCTGGAGTTCTAGTGGGAAGCAGTGATCAGTGGAGTTCAACCACGTCTGTTGTGAGATATCAACTCACTGAAGACAATTGGTGAATGGTTGCTCAACTTCGTGGATCAGTTGAAGTTAGACATTAACACCGTTGGATGCCAGCTCAGTGGTCTATCGGTCAAGGGCTTCGGCTCGAGACTAGTAGGTCCTGGGTTCAAATCTCGCTCGCGAGAGCGGGTTCGTGGATGCGCACTGCTGAGGAATCCCATAATAGGACGAAACGGCCGTCCAGTGCTTCCAGGTTTTCGATGGTGGTCTAGCTTCAATTGACTCATGATTTCAACTTTGTCATATTTCATTAGACAACTATAAGAATAACTGTATAAAGTAAAGAGTGTGAAAATGTTACAGTGTGTTGGCAGTTGATAAATTTACTATTCTACGCTTGACAGAACTATTAAAGTATTACATTTTCAGGTTATTAATAAAAAACGTAGATGAATCTATATTGATTGATGTGCAACGGACTAGAGCTGTCATCGTGCATCTGTCAACCTTAATGCTCTATGGTAATTGCAACAGTAGAATACGAGCTCTAAAGTGAAGATGCGGGGTAAATATTTTACTTCAAGAATCGCTGGTATTTTTTGAGCATACAACATAAATAAAAATGAACTGTGGTCAAGTGATATAATCTTTGATCAAACGTAGTGATTGATTCCACTCTGATATATATATATATATATATATATATATATAATACTATCGAAAGGCATAGGATTTTTACGTATAAATTTTACAAAAATGTTAGCATTTTATCAACTAGCCATTCGACATCTTAAATAAATATAATATCAACTGGTTCACCACTAGAATCATATATGAGAGAAAATTTTAAAAAGGTGAATTGTTAGGCACTAGATTTGGGAGATAGAGGGGACGAAGCTCTCGTAAATGAATAGCAATCAAATTAATTTACGGTCAGTGCAAAGTGTCAATAAAGGATTTTTCAGAAAAATAAATACAAGCAATAATACTATTGTTAATTGTGTCAAATTCCTATGCAAACCAACTGTTTTGTTAGACAACTCGATAGTAAATATACGGACAAATGTTCTTTTCTCGTTAAATATGTAAAAACAAACAGAAAAAAAAAACAGATTTTATATGTGCAGACAATGAAAATGAGATGAATAGTTTAGTAAATTCGAAGATTTTAATCATATAATGATTTATTAAAAGAATCATTAGATTAGAATACAAGAAATTCTACAGTCCTCATGACTTTCGTACGCTAAAGCACACAAAGCTACCTTTATGTTGATTAGCTAGAATTATGATAGTGAATCTTATTCGATTTCCCATAAATATCCCACCCCCTCCAATCCAATATTGTGCGTCTTCAAACGAAACAGAAATACTTCACATTATATGCATCCAAAATTAATTAAACAATGCCAATATGTAACTGATTCGAAAAAAATTGACAGCCAGAATGTGATAAGCAAAAAACAGTGACAAAAAATAAAAGTTGAAGAAATCTAACGTTTATTTTTCCCTTACATTAAAATTTACCTTGTCCGATATTTCATCTGAGGTGATATTAGGATTTAACTTTAGTGTAGCTTGTGATACGCATGAATTGGCATAGGACATTTTGTTTTTATAATTTAAATGATTGGATAATGCCATAATCTTAGAATTCATACGATATTGAATTGTTAATTCAGTCACGTATCCCTTTTTTGAAAGGTCTATTGATGAATTTGTTGTTAATGGACTATTGTCACGGTCATGATGGCTTTGTAACAATGAAAAGAGACTTTGATCCAGTCCACCAAGTCTAATCAAAGAGTAAACCAAAATGCTTGAAATGTATTAAAAACTTAAATTAAAAAACTACTAAAAAAAAGTACATTCAATTAGCCTGAATAGAGTCAGCTGTACTCAATAAACAAATCCGCGTCGTTTAAAAAATTGTACTCCATGACTGGGTTAAAACTAGTTCTCTTTTTTCCAAAATTTATGTTTGGATATACACACATTGAAACTTAGTGGAAAACATTCACAACCAAGATACAACAAGATAGCTAAGGGGAAAGCCTTCAAAAACTAACAAACTACATTTGAGAGGAAATTATTTCAGTAATCAGAAAACCATCATACTAGTGGATATCTAAACTAAGATAGAAGGAAATTTGCAATAAGATAAGCGCTACAAACCAATTGATTCCTTCCGTACATAAAATTTAAGCATGAGTCTTACATCTGTTCATATCGCTAGAATAAAGTATTAATGATTATGTAAGTCGACGTCATCTCTCCATTTGAAGACTATGAGGATTATTTCGTATTACAGTTGAGACTGTAATCAAGCCATTGAGATTAGCGTAGGTTTTATACTACATCAACTAATTCATGTCTTTAATCTACATCTTTAAACCATATAGGTATAGAGGCGAAGGAACAGTCAAATTATAAATCAAGTCACTTTCGTGAAAAATGTTTTATAAACAAATAAGAGTAGTTCGTATTTAAACGATCATTAACAAGAGTAATGTAAATATAGAAAATGTAGTGAGACTATGGAGAATTCAAAAGGGCAAACAATAAGTTTGACAAAATAAGCAATTACCGATAATTAAATTTTTCATTTGACTTTTTTGTCCTGAATCAATCCTAGTGTACCAGTGACTTGTTTTGCCAGATGTACACCATAAAAGAATTCCGAACATGGATTTACGATGTTTGTATTTAATGAACGCTTACAGTTATTCACAAAATCAATCAATTAGCAATCCTACACATTCAATTTTAAAAAGCAGATTAATTTAAATCAACCAGAGTTATGACGAAAATTTATACTGTGTGAACTTCTGACTACTAACAAGTACACTGGAATACACAATATTTTATCTTACGTACGAAGTCGACAAGGAAATATATTTGAAAGCAAAAAACAACTCAAATTACCTAGCTTTTTGACTACGAACTAAAGGTGGCAACTGGTAAGGATCTCCAACCAGTACAAAACGACAACATTTTATAGAGTCAAGAGGTTGTTGCTCTTCAGTAAGGCACAGTAATGGCCCCAAAGTAGTAGGAAACATTAATTGACTAGCCTCATCAATTAGGACAACATCAAATTTTTGATATGTCAAAGCTGAATGTCGCAGATCATTCCCTCCACTTGCACTTAAAGCTGTGCATCCGACAACGACCTAAAAAAATAATAGAATACAAAATAATGGATTAGGAGTCACCAAAAAAAAGATTTAGAATCGGGTTTACAAGTTAATCAGGCTATAACCTACTAAAAAAAATTAAATAAAGTAATATCAGACAAATAAAATAAACTATTACTTGAACACTAAGATGAAAATACAATTTGATGGAATAATCTATTTTGTCTACTTCCCATATACTATATAAGATTATTTTTTAACGTGTTGGTTCCATTTAGCATCGTGCAAAAAGTAGAAAATAAAAAGGTATGCGAGTTAAAGCTGAAACTGTTTTTATTGACGTAAGTAGCTATAAATATAGAAAATATGGGGAAAAAATATATAGCAAGATCCTCAAAATGGAAAAAACTGGTATGTATTCATTCAGCGACTTTGCTGAAAGTCAATTTTAAATTAGTTTGACGCTAGTCAGTATTATTAATCCGAATAGCGATTATTCCTACTACCATTATTTTCTTCGTTTGCAAGCTTTTGAGAGCCAATATCCTTAAAACAATCGTTTCCACTATTGTGCTGATGATTAAAGGAAGCTAAAGAAATAGACTCTAGTCTAAACTCGCAAGAAAGACTTCATGTTGTTTAGATTTTAGTGAATAATTATTAGATCTCTTGTGAAAAAAAACACGATAACACTTTCACAATCCATATTTCCCCAATTAACTTCGCTGTTACATATTTGGTTGTCCTTATATTTACTTTGCCGAAATTTATCATATCTCCAGTTTATGGTTGGTTGCTTTATAGAGTTATTAGACTAAAATTCTGACTTCTTGTTAATGTGAATACCAAGCTTCTCCTGAACCTATGACTTTTTCTTGTCTTCTATGACGTTAGGGATTATATTAATGAACAACTGTGTGTCAATAATCCGATCTATCAAGTTCATATTAGAAGAATATCTTAATCATTTGTAAATTAGAAATCGCTGTAAAATTACCAACCATAAAACTTAGTAGTTTTCGAAACCGTTTCAAGTGAATTATAATAAGTATAGCCGATAATATTTGTGAGACGAATACAACAACGAACAACTGTTATTTTTACGACTAGTTAACAAGGACTAACATTACCAAAGAATTCTTTTAAGAAAAATCGCAATAAAAGAAAATTGAGCTTTTATCAAAAATTTACTACACAACTAATTTAGTTTGGATAATTAGATGATATCACTAGTTGTTAAATTGAAATTCCAGTCTTACATTAAGTACACAAATCTGCAATCAATAACAACGTTACATTAATACATAAATGACTCGAAGTTATTATGATGTGCTTATCTTCTAGTTTCTATGGACAACATACAAATTACATTGAATAATAGTACCAAAGGCAATCTTCAATCTAAAAAATGAGTTATCTGGAAAAAACACCTAGCCAATAATTATTGCACTAATCCAATAAGTATCGACGGGTCTCTTAGAACAATTTGGAACTAATGATTATCAAATCCTAATTTATCTAAACTCATTAACAACTAAGTACTTGGTAATACTGTAGTGAACAGAGCACGAGTTGGGGACAATCGAATGTATTTAAGCAAAAGTTACAGACTATCTCAGTAAATTCCGATAACCAAACAATGAACAGTCAATTTGCAAATTAACAACCAATTGTTTCAATCTGCACTGTTTCTTCTCTTATTCCATTGCTCATGCATTTTCCAGACGATTGCGCTTCATTTCAGTTCTTTCCTCATCGGTCTTCTGCCAAAATACATTCTATGCCTGACCCACACCATATACTACTTATATGGATATAAGTAGACCACACCACAATACTACATAAAAATATTCATTTACGTTATTTCTATCAAATTAAATGAAATCTGAGTAATATCCTTACAAGTATTAGATTCTAAACATACCATGAATAAATAGAGATGCTTACAACATAGAAAATGAATGTTTAACTAACAGTCTGTCCATCATTAGATGAACATATAAACATGAATTTTCTTTCTACAATACAAATACACCACGAACTAACAACTAAATAACATGAAATTTTCCATATGGTCTAATCTAAAACAAAATACAAAGGTCATGTCAACTATACCGAATTTGTAACTAGGAGAGAAAATATTTTCAAGACAAAAACAGGTGTTAGAAAAAACCAAACAAATGTAAACATGATACATATATTCTAATAATTATCTTGTAATATGTAACGCCACATAATATTTATATGTTAGACAATTAGTAAATACATATAGAGACGTTTTGAGCGATAACTTACAGCATCTGCCATAATATTATTTATATAGTCAATAATATTATTTTTAGGTTTTTCATTAGACTTTAGAAATGTATTCAATTTGTATTCAAAGGAATAATTTAATAAATCAGGGAGTATTCGATCCATTTGTCCGAGTCTTATAACACGAGTTTCACCAGTCTAAGGAAAAAAGAAAAATTTTATTGTTGTTACAAAGTATGTTATAAAACAAATTTTTGATCAGTAAGCAGTTTTGAAAACACCATATAATAAAATGTACATCTGGTGGTGTATCGGGTGATTTGGTAAATTCATGAACCAACTTTAATGCAATCCCCAAGTTTAGGAAGTGTATATGGATAAATCGCTTAAAAAGTCAGACGTCTACATTGAAAGCTGCTAAGGATTGCGGTATACTATACGTTGACGAATGATTATATTTTGATTGTTGGATTCATGAGTCAATCTAAGCTAGACTACCACTGAAAACCTGGTTTCAAGATGGGTTTGCTAGAGTTCTAGTGAGAAGCCGTGACCAGTGGAGTTCAATTCGTGTAGGATAGAGACAGGTATCTATCTCATAAAATAGATGAATGGTTGTACAAGATCATGAATTTATTGAAGTTAGACATTAACATAGATGGATGCCGGTCGGTTCAGTGGTCTACAGATTAAGGGTTCGCTCGCGAGACCAAAGGTCTTGGATTCGAGTCTCGTGTGTGAGATCATAGATACGCACTTCTGAGAAGTCTCATACTAAGACAAAACGGTTGACCAGTGCTCCGAGGTTTTCAATGATGGTCTAGCTTAGATTGACTCATGAATTCAACTATTAAAATTACTACAATCCCCATGAAACCCTATTGTGATTATATTTTGATCCAAAGAGACTAGATTTGACTTTGCATGATATTGTTGGTTTAAACTCCGGCATATTAAACCTGGTAGGGACAATTATTCAGTTATCATTAGATTTTAATTATTGTTTCTGAGTGATTTTAGTTCATGACAAAAACTATATATGTTTTTAAGCAATGTATTTAGTACCAAAATGGCATAAAAGTTTGTGTAACAATGCCCGATCATATTTAGGCATTTACCAAGAGTCATAAACAAAAAGGAGATAAATCACACAGGAAACAAACAACACTTACTTGACATAATCTTAAAAGTAAATTATCGACAGCGGAATGAGTATGTGCTGTGACAAGAATTCTTTTCTTTAACAGAATAAGGACACGTAATAATGCTATCAAAGTTTCTGTCTTTCCTGAAAATAAAAAATCAAAATGAATAATAATAGATATTTTTTGAACTGTTGTAGTACATCGAAAACAGAGATGAGAATAACAGACATTTTAATCAAGTAAATATGACTTAACAAAAGTTTTTTTTTCATACAAACTTAAACTTTTTCATAAATAAATAATCTTTTTATTAAAAGACTCAATAGGAATTATTCCGTTAGACATGATACAATTTATCATGCAGAATAATTTCTTATCTTACTAACATTTAGGTCTTTAATCCCAAAAACTTACAGACAAAAAAGATGAATTCCATGGAAGTTATTTACAATAGATAGAAAAAATGTAATGAAAGTTAAACTATAGTGTACTAAGTAAACGAGAAATGTAACTAGTTTCCAATCAGTTATACGAGTATTCGTTTAAACTTGTAACATCTAATATTATATGATGGATATGTTTTCAACCTTTTGTTAGACAGAATGGTAGAATGAAATATAATCTATGATGAAACACCTAATAGAAATGATAAGCTCCACGATAAATTTTGAAATAAAGAAAACTGTTATTAACTTAAGATTAGATAGAGATATATACGAAAAAATGGAAAAAAAATAAGTGAAAATGTATTAAGTAGCTTATGGGGAATATACTTGTGTCAACCTTAAGTTACTGGGTTGGAGAATGCTGGTTGGCGGCCTATGCTCCATTGGGGGTAACAAGCGTAAGTAAGTAATTTTAAGTTACAATACGTAGGAGTAGAATCGGATGATACAGAATGAAGTGACATTCGATAAGGTGAACAATTGGCAATAGTGTTACAATATGGAAAAAAAAATAAAGACCCATAGTTTGATCAGTAAACGTATTTCTTTTTATATAAATACACATCATCATCTATGTAAAAAAAACACAAATCGAATTTGGTTTACAAACTAACATGTCCAGAAAAAATGGTGTAACACTACAATAGTATTACGAAGAGGAAAGAAAATATAACAATTACAAAGTATGAATATTTTCTGGTCTATAGTGAACTACCATCTACCTGTTTTAACTGAAGTAGAAGTGAAAATTGTATACTGTTTACTTGACCAATTGTAGGTTTTATAAATGAATTACTCCACAGCATCTATAATACATTCAGTACTAAGAAATAGACAAACCTTGAATGAAAGTTAATAGTTCATCAAACTGAACATCAAATACAAATGTTAAGAAAACTGGTTTCTTTTGACTTTTCGAGAGTTATTGTGACCATGGTTCAAATTCATTTTAAAATTATCTTTCTTTGCATACACTACGACATTAATGTTCAGAATCACGAATATAAAATCGGGGTTCATAGCACAGAATCTAAATTATATTTGTACGCTCATAAATGGCATCCATTAAAAGTACTACATACTGATAAGAAAGTATTAAACATGAATATCTAAAAAATGTATTTATAAATAAAGATACCTGATCCAGGATATCCTTTGATAAGAATATAACTTTGTGAAAAAAGTGTTTGCAGTATAGCCGCACGTTGATTTGAATTCAATGGTTTCAGAATAGGGCGTACTATAAATAAATAAAAATTAAATAACACACATGATAAATAACGATTACTTTCTTTGACGATCTTTTTAGATATTGTTTTTAACATATCCGGTATACGACCATCAATGATAAGCTCCCGTAGTAAATGACTAGAAAAACGAAGGATTAACAAAAAACAACGGTAGAATATTAAGTAAAACAGACTAAAAAGTCATTTACACAAGAATAATAAAAATATATGGGAATGAACTCTTTACCACATAATACGCACAGAAATGCTTATTTACGGACCTTCTCAAGAGATATTTACTGCAATGACGATATTAACCAAGCACTTTTGATAATACAGTGCTATCATAACACATCACGAAATGAATGGGGAAAATCAAAATCTTCGTGATTCAAACTCTTTAATATAATACCAGTGATGGTTTTAAGTTATCAGTAAGTAATCAAAACTATTACATAATCGAATCAATCTCTAGCACTAACCGTCTCATCAAAACTTGATATCCTTAGTTCTAATAAAATCACAAACAGTAATATATCTCAGGACACAACTAATAACTACTGCAACTCAGGTCCAATTTATGATTGTATTTCGACCAGAAAAGTAGAACTTTATCAAAAATAAATTATTTTTCGTCAGAAACGCTAATTATTTGAAGAAAAAAAAACAAGATAGAGTATAGAACTGAAATTATTACTGCTGCTAAAAAGTATGACTTTCCAATCCAAAAATGACCATAAATGAAAAACGACACAGCTAACTCATTACAACTAAGACGTCGCTCCAAATAAACGGAAAATTTTGAAATATTTGGAGAAAATGAACTCCAATTTCATAAATATTCAACAAATGCTTATAAGCCATCTTGAGATTGATTTTCAACAAACTATAAACATACATAACAACAAATACAGGAGTTGACTAAAGTGTATTTTATTCTAGCGAACATGATGAATTCTTAGATTGAGTATATTTGTAGCAAAGAAAAGGAATTTTGAAGATGTTTTTCCCCTTAGATGGGTGGTTTAGTCGTGAAGTTTTCATTATTGTAAAGAAGGCCAATGAGAGGACAAAATGATAAACCCTAAACATAGTTTATGATAATGATGTAATTATTTGAACATTAACAATACTATCACTACAACCTAATTACCTCAGTGTGTACAAAAGAAAATAAACAATGATAACTATCTAGTTAAAACATATGTACTTCATTGGAATCTCGAACCAACCAATGTTACACCACTACTGAAAACCTGGAATAACTGGGCGGCCGTTTTGTCCCAGTATGGGACTGCTCAGAAGTGCGTACTCACTATCTCACACGCCGTCACTAGTGTGGTTAAGCTGTGTTGGATATGAATCAGTTATCCACTGAAGATGGGAGATGGTCGCGCAATATCTTGGTTGAAGTTAAACATTGAAATCGTCAGGCTCAGTGATCTGGAGGTTAAGCGTTCGTGCGAGGTCGAAAGTTCTGGTTTCGGGTCGCGAGAGCAGGGTCGTGGGTACGCACCGCACAAGAGTCCCATATCAGGACGATACAACCGTCTAGTGCTTCCAGGTTTCCAATGGTAGTCTAACCTTGGTCGGTTAGTAATTTCAATGAGATTCAATAATCTCCACAACCCCATACTAAAAACATATATGCATATATACCTACCATAATTTGGAACTCCTCATTAAACCCACTAAGTTCGATAGATTCAACTGGATCGTTTTCATTGACACATAACGATCAACACGAAACAATTGAATTCGATCAGGAAATGACCTAAGAATAATGAGGTAATAGTGTCATCTTCAATTTAAATAAATATCCATGATATGTAGCGAAAGTTTCAATAACATATGTTACAAAATAACCAAAACACAATCTAATTACATAGTTTATTGTCCTAAAATTTATCTCGGTAATATCACAAAAATCAACAACCAAAGAAATTATAAAAATTTGCTATCGCTGGTTATTCACCTTCCATTCCCAACTGAATTGAGTATTTCCAAGGACATTTGAGACGAACATATAAAGCTAAATACAAATACTAATTATGTGCTTTTTGACCGAACATCATAATGACCTTTCAATACAAAAACATTCTTCATAATAAAAATATAGTTATCACTCTCTGTTTTTATGCGATAAACTCTAAGACCTAACTCAAACGTTTAACTAAGCGTACACATGTCGATAGAGACAAAGATAGACAAAAGATTCAGGACAAAATAAAATTGATAAAATATATGTTTGGCTGTATAAATTCAGAATCAAACTACCTGGTTGAAATCAAAGATAATACATTTTTCTTATAGTCAGACAGAGGTGAAACGGATCCGTGACTAGTAAAATCAACTTCATGAAATCCTTCAACTGGAGCTATAGTTGCTAATTCAATACCCATAAAACGAGAATCATCACTGCTGACAATAACAAAATCACCAATATTCAGACTTGAAAAGGATCTGAAATAAATATGAAAAAGTGACGAGGAAACAATGGTTTCATAAAGTTGGTTAATTAAAAATAGGTAACTCGTATAAATAAGAGAATGAAATTAAATAAGCACAATGCAAAAACTGATTTAGAAAATTGGTTGAATAGTATGGTAAGTGACGCCAAATAAAACCGGCTGAATTAAATAAATTCACAATAAAGCTGTAATTTGAACAAAGCCATCGTTTGTAATTATACTAAGTAACGAGTTCAGCGAAAGTTAGTAATAAGATATTTATTAATGAATCTCCCTACTTTAAAAGAAGTGACATATTCATTGAATAATTATTGAACAACATCTAGTGCATTGGCATATTGCAAATCATTCAGTTATTGATTGGTATTTTCTATATTAGAATCTTGAACAATGATAAAGCGATGAAGGATGTGTACTATAAATTCGCAGAAATAAGCGAAATAGTCCTTGAATTTTCTTTTCTATTAAACTATATCTTGGTTATCTGTAAAATTTTCTTTCACTTATTATTAAAGAAATAAAGCGCGAGTCTATATTGGATAAGCCAAGAAAACGAGATTGCATAACACCTCATTTAATTGATATATTCGATCCTAATTTTGATTGAAGGTCACTTGTACTAATCAACATACTGGCTTTAGATAATAAAATAGTTTAAATATTGAATTGAAAACCCATTTGAGTTACACTTAATGAACTTTGAAGTGTCTATGAATCAACAAGCGTACTTTATATTCCTACTGATTATATTGTAAATATCTTTAGTTAGTTTTTACTATACATTCAGCATTTATTGGGCTATATATATTACGAAACAAGTAGTAAATATATGTATCAATTACATAATTAAATCATTGTAAAGTAGACAATTTTGGAATTATATAAAACATACAGTAAGGATTCATAAGGTTGATCAATGGATTTGTGTAAAATAAACCAACTCTGAACTTCAGATTCACCAGATAATGAACTTTGTGAAATTTTCGTCTTCACTAAACGTAAACCACGAATAGTACCATTAGTGATGGGTCTACAAAACAATGTTTTAAAAATGATAATATTACAATCATTTATTCGTGAAAAAGAGAAATTATGGAAGTAGCCTCATTAAAAGAATCTTTATAAGAAGGGCTGGTAAACTACATACAGATTATAGGAATGAACAAATCTGATAAACTGAAACCAAATGACTATAACGTTATGACTAGTACATTATGACAGATTGCAGACACAGAATAGCATAAGTTTGAAAGGGTTATTCAAGACAATCCAACCAGAAATGACAGAACAAGTTATGTAGTAGTAACATAATGCCTTAACTTTATATTCTACTTTACTGTTTGCTTCCTTTCTAAATGATTTATTTCAAGTTGACTAAAATTTTAACAAAAACGTACATGAAAACTACATGATAAAAACTAAAAAAATGTGTTGTTTGCAAGATTGAAAAGGTACCAAAGTTCTATTAAATTTCAAACCGAACTATAAAAAGCTATTAGTGTATTGAAATATGTCAATGGGAACAGGTTTCGGAAAAAAGATGCAAACTATTATTTGAAATTAATCCATATAGTTTTATGTAGACAAAAATAAAACATGAATAATCTAATGATACTTAAGTTATAAAGGTTGGATGAAGATAGTATTTACTGAATTCACAAAAAACGTGACAAAATAATAAAGATTAACATTAACGGGTTGTTTAACAAATAATATAATTCATATACTACTCATGATATTGGTTCGATGAGAAAAGTAAATATTTAGTGCTATTTACAGGTATGTGAAAGTGAAGTTTTATCTATTCTGGTAATTAGTAATATATAGTATGATAAATTATATTACTATTCACTACGTAACATTTATTTAGTAAAGTGGTGAAGTATCTTTGAACAGCACATGTTCTGATAGAGGTCGTTTTCAAATTTAGGAGGAGCAGGTTATTCATTGAGTTAAATAATAATTATTATAATGAGGCTCTCTGCTACTAGAAAATAATCTTCCTCACTAATTTATGAATAGATAAAGCGTGTAAAAAGTAAACTGACAACCTAGGCCCAATCCACTTATTCACAAATGATATATTGACAAAAGAGATTAAGTTTTAACATGCAAACTAGCACTTTTTAAGATTATAAGATATGAAAGAACTTTAAAGTACGACAAAACAATCCTCTTTTTCCTCCCTTAATCCACGGAGTTAACTACCTAACGAACAGTAAAATATCATTAAAATCATGGGCCATCATTAAAAGCCTGGAAGCACTGAATGGCCGTTTGATCGAACAGTAAAACAGATTTATAGGATTACTCGTCAAGATTAGAACGAATAGCTTGACAAAAATTGGGCGCAGAATATAGAGAAGTCATTGCATGTGAAAATTATATTTGAAATAAACTCATCGACCGAAATTTAAATAATTCCAACGTTTCGTCCAGCTAACTTGTCTGCAATTATTCATGGTAATAAACAGATTGTATAGTTAGACTGAGTTAACGACATTAGGGAGGACAATTTCGACAATACAACTTCCTTAACAGATGTAAGGAATCTATAAGTAAAGAAAAGCATTACGAAACTACTTTCAAAAAGAAAATGATAATTCATACATAAACATATATTTATTATTACTTGTCAACTTTTAAAGATGTTTTGTAAATATTTCCAATTACATGTTCGAAGCGTTCATTATCCAAGTATTCTGTTAACAAGAGTTTAGACCACTTGATAAAAAAATCAATGTGTTCTTGTTGAAGGTGAGACCGATGGTTTATTAGAATTTTGTGAACACTGGAAAATGAATCATATGCACCCGAACATCTGTATGAAAAAAATACCAAAAGTTACTCAATACTTGGATCAGGCAGAATATGACAGTAATTTTTTTTTATGGGAATGTGAAAAAATCCTTTAAACACTGGGTAGTAATTATCAAATGAGCATAACTCCATCCAGCTTTCTGTTCGATAATAGTTACTTAAAGAATGAGCAAATTCAATATAAGTGTTACATTCCTGTCAGCCAAAAGTAAGACTCGAAATTTCACAATAGCTTGTGATTTATTGAATTATACCGATTGATAACTACGATCTGCATAGTCTCCTATCACTACATATAATAGTAACAAACATACGGGCAACCAGAAGTAAACATTACCTACGGAGATACTTAACGCCAAGTAACATAATAATAATAAATGATGTATTTTCTCTTATTTTAACATATTAATAAACTTACGGTTTCGCAGGAGTTTCTGCAAATAAGCTGCATGTAAGCTGTAAACTGCAAGTTTGACAAACACGTAACTGATTTATACAATTAGGTAACTTAAGTTTCTGTTCGTCAACACACAGCTGTTCGTGGGAAGTATCAGCTGACTTTAATAGATCGATAATTCCTGAAACGAGCCTATTTCTCGTCTGTATAAGACCCCGAAAACTGTTAATATCTGGATAAAGAATGCCTGGGTTTGTGAAGGAAATGTGTTTTTGAAAATTCTGTTTTATCGGCTCCTTTAGGTAGACAAGCCAGCCAGCATTCGCAACTGGAACTTTAGCATATTTAGGGGCACTGTAATAAGCACCGTAAAATTCTCTAGCCAACATTAGGTATAAGTAGACCTAGAAAATAAAATGTCAAACACTGGTGGATAAATATATGGTAAGTATAGCAAATAAATGACCACAAAGTTGGTCTATGAACACGTGAATTAACCAAATAAAACTGGACAGACGATACCAAAATAATGATTACTGATAATGAAAATTCATAAATGTTAGTGGTTTTAGAAGAACAAGTTTGAGGAATAGATATAGTATGCCATAGACAAGAGATACAGAGAGATCTAATATTCACAGGAGAAAGTCTTAAAAACTCTGAATACATAAATGTGAACCAGACATATATGACTCATGTTCAAGGCGAGAAATTCCTAACTTCGATTCGCACACAGTAAGTACCTTAATCCTCACGCCCAATTCTCGGTGATGGCTAGTACAAAACAAAAATCTTGCACTAAAGTTTTATTTGCAAGGACCAAAGAATGAATTAGGCAAGCAGATACTGTGTACAAATATATAAATTATGTCTGTGGAAGTAATTATGAACAACAAGAAATACTAAGTGCGATAAACTAAGAAAAAGTTTTCCCAGTTTAACTTTATCTTGTTCACACATTTGTTCTCTATGATAAATTTGAACAGAACAAAATTATAAGATATACAGGATGAAGTGAATATACTCTATTTCAGACCTATTCATCAGTTGTAAACAGCCTGAAGTCATGAAGAATAATAAAATTATAAATGGAGTTCCGATATACTGTAGTTAATCAAGTTGAGAGGGATACTTGAGATGGAACAGAAAACCATATTGGGAGGAATAATCCAAAAAAATATATTATTTAGTTATTGTTATCCTTAGGCGAAATTTATCAACATCTGACTTGAGTTAGAGTAATATCGAAAATCGAAGAGCACTAAACGGCTCGTTTGTAGTAAACTTTTGTAAGGATATTTTCAACTATGTTACAAAATGAACATAATCTTTACCTGAATACAAAGTGAAGAAAACAATGGTTGTTAAAAAGTTTCTTTATTATATATTAAAAATATTCTTTTTTTATTTAAAAGATGATTATCATCTAACGAAACGTGATGAATATAGTTATGAAACTACAAGAAAACATACTTGACCTTTATGTTCGATTGAATAAGTTGGATTACCAGTTTTTAATTCCATAGGAATTAAGTTCAACGTAGGTTTCAATTCACCAATCAAAGGAATTTCACACAATAATGTCGAGTCAATTTTTCCTTTTAAACCCAAACTGGATAAAAGATAAAATGAAAATGTAGGACAAACTACCTAATTATTTACAATGTAGAATCGATTACTCTGGATTAATTTTAATTAATTTTTAGGCGATAAAGTGAATTCCAATAAGCTTTAAGTATTACAAACAATAAATTCAAGAGTTTATGTCAGCTTTTTGTACTCAAACCAGAGTAATTTGTACAGTAATAATTTAAGGGTTTCGGTAGTTATTTTGTAAACGAATCATGAATATTAATTGTTAAATAGAGTTAGAATAGAACGATTTGTTTTAAACTGTTGATTTTCAAGATGTGTTTCATCAATAGAAAGTTATACCAAAATCTACCATTAAAACGACAAAAAATTTTCTCCACCCAACGATTTACAAGTATACCGTATTGTTGTACACAATATAAGTGTATAAATATATGTATATATAATTCCGCCAGTAGTTTACTAGCGTTACTGACAGCCCCGAGGCCGGATAAAAAAGGAGGGTTGGGTAGAAGATCATTAACCACATCCCGTAGAAAACAACCTTGCTAAAAAACGCTAACCAAAATAAACAATTTAAACCATTTATCACTGCCCTAAGAGTTGAAGAATCTGAAATCAGAACAGTTATGACGCTTCATGGTGAAGGCCGAGATTCTTTGCAAGTCATGAAGCCGATGCCCCTTCTAACAACCAGAGCAACAACTAATATAGGTATATGGAATATTCAGACCATGTGGGAGACTGGAGGACTAATCAAATAGTTACGGAAATGAGGGGATACAACTTGACGGTGCTCAGAATAAGTGAAGCCCATTGAAACCATCCTGGACGGAAAAGGATAGATTCGGGAGAGAACTTTTTGTACTCTGGTTATGAGGAAGAAAAAGACCACACACTAAGGGAGTTGCTCCGATGCTGTCCAAAGAAGCACGTAAAACACTTATAAGATGGGAATCTCATGGATCCAGAATCATCAAAACACCCCTGAAAACAAAGAAAGAGGGAATCACAATAATTGTTATTCAATGTTATGCACCCACCAATCATGGCAGTGGAGACAACAAAGATCAAATTTATGGGGGGCTGAAGTTGATCAAAGAGGAAGAATCTGACCATCCTGATGGAGGATCTAAGCATCAAAGTTGGAATGGACAACACCGGGTATGAAGATATCATGGGACGACATGGACTGGGGACTATGAAAAAAGGAACGGGAGTGGTCACAGTTTTGCAAACCTATGTGCATTGAAAAAAAACGGTCACAGGCGACACAATTTTCCCACACAAACGCATACACAAAGCTACATGTGTCTCCCTGGATCACTCAACACAGAACCAGATCGATCAAATTTGCATCAGTAAAAAATTCAGAAGAGCGATAGATATGAGAAGCAAGAGAGGAGCTGACATATCTTCAGATCACCGGCTGATGGTTGTCAAGATGAAACTGAAATTTTTAAAAAAACACTGGACAACTGGACAAACGGCTTTAGAAAGGCTCAAAACAGCTTTCCTTCGACATACTGACAAACTCAACCAATTCAAGAGGTGCTGGGTCTCAAGAAGCATCATCATAAGGTATGGATCTCTATCGATACCCTAGACAAGATTCAAGAAAGGAAGACAGCAATTAACAACAGCCGAACAAGAACAAAGAAAGTCAAGACACAAGCTGGATACACAGAAGCAAACAAGCAAGTTAACAAGAGCATTATCGCTGACAAGCAGAAATACATGGACGAACTAGCAACGACAGCGGAAAAAGCTGCAAGAGAAGGAAATATGAAACAACTATATGACACGACGAAGAAGGTGATAGGGAAATATAGTAAACCAGAGAGACCGGTCAAGAAAGGCAAGTCAATCACTGAAATTCATGGATAGGGGAACAAATGACTGGAACGCTTCGAGGAACTCTTGAATAGACCAGCTCCATTGAATCCACTGGATATCAAAGTAACATCTACATACCTTCTTATAGATGCCACTCCACCAACGATCGAATAAATCAAGATGACCATCAGGCAAATCATTAGTGAGAAAATAGCAGGACCTGATAATATACCAGCTGAAGCACTGAAGTCAGACATTGAAGTAACTGCAAACATGCTCCACGTTCTATTTAAGAGGATTTGGGAGGAGGAACAAGTGCTGACGGACTAGAAAGAAAGATACCTAATCACGATACCTAAGAAAGGAGATCTGAGCAAATGTGAGAACTACGGAGACATCACACTACTGTCACTATCAAAAAAAATTCTCAACAGAGTGTTGCGGAACCGGATGAAAGACTCACTAGAGATTTCGAGATCAACAGGCCGGATTCTGTAAGGATCGGTCGTGCACAGACCAAATCGCGACACCACGGACTCTTGTCGGACAATCAACTGAATAGAATTCGTCACCAAACACTAATGTCCTTGAATATGAGAAATCATTTGATAGTGTGGATTAGAGTACCTTATGAAACATTCTTCGACACTATGACGTGTCAGAGAAAATCGCCAACTTCATCCGGAATTTATACGACGAACTACACTGTAATGTAATACATGAGGGACAGCTGACAGATGCATTCCAAGTGAGGACTGGATTCAGACAAAGCTGTCTACCTCCCCCCACTTCCCTTTCTTCTGGCGGTTGACTATATTATGAAGACCTCCACATCTGAGAGAAAGCACGAAATGCAATGGACAGCTTGCATGCAACTAGACGACTTGGACTTCGCAGATCACCTAGCCCTACCATCTCATACACACGAACAAACGCAGGTCAAGACAAGCAGTAGGCCTCAACATACACAAAGTAAGAGGCAAGATCCTCAAATACAACACAGAGAATACCAATCCAATTACATATGATGGAGAAACTCTGGAAGAGGTAGAAACTTCAACGTACATGGGCAGTATCATCCATAAACAAGGAGGATCAGATGCAGATGTAAAGGCAAGGACATCATTCATACAGTTTAAGAACATATGAGACTCAAGACAACTGTCAACCAATATCAAAGCTGAATCTTCAATACGAACGTCAAGACAGTCCTACTGTACGGATCTGAAATGTGTCATTTCATTAATTTGCGTGAGGGCTGTGATACTGCCCAGGTGCCCAAACCGAAGCATGTGGTTTTCTCAGGGGGCCACACCCCGAGCCTTCGACCTAGAGGTCTTACCCACAAGGCAGTGGAGCATCGTGAGGAGATGAAGTCCCATAGTAGCCGGTGACCAACGATTGATTCATACGCCATTTGTTCCTTCAGGATACTGGAGCCCATGTGCATCATTGGTTTGGAATCAGGGTTTTCCAACTCCCCTAAATGGATCCTTCATATCCACCAACCCGGTTATAGCGCCGGACATTCGCTTTTTGTTCTCTCACTTTCGTAAACAACACCCCCGCCACGAGAAGACAGAGGTTCGGTATCGTGTGTTCGGGCGCCGAGACGATAATTCAATTGGTATCACCATCTTGAAACACCGACTTCGGTGGCTTGGACATGTTTTACGAATGTCGTCCCAGAGACTTCCACGTCGTGCATTATTTGCCGACTCTGGGATTGGTTGGAGAAAGCGGAGAGGAGGTCAGTGTATGACATGGTGTCGTGGGATGAAAGAAAGCTGCAAAGGGCTAGCTTCTGTTGGTCCTTCACGACTACTTGGCTGGGGTCCGAGAGACGGTGCAACACAGTGGCTAGAAACGTTATCAGATATGGCTCAGAATAGAAGCCAGTGGCGATCCTGCTGTAACCTTCTTTTGCTCTCTTCATAAAGAGTGGTTATAACTTTCTTAACTGAGAGAGCTCTTCTAGTTGTACATTTCAGTTCCTCCCATCATTACTCTCTTTTTTTCCTTCTTTTATATATACACATCTTCTTCCTTCTCCTCCCATTCTCATTATTTGTGTGGCGCATATATATCCGGTGCCCTTTGTACCAATATATATGTGGTTAAATAAATAAATAACGGATCTGAAACGTGGAGAACTATTACAACTACTATCAAAGTACAAGTAATTATGAACAATTGTCTACGAAAGATGCTCAATGTCCGTTGACCGGATACTATCAGCAACAGCCTATCGTGGAAGAGAACAAACCAGGTTCCAGCTGAAGGTGAACAGGATATGCGTTACGGAAACCATCAAACTGCATCACAAGACAAGGCTTAACTTGGAATCCCGAAGGGAAAATGGAAAGAGGAATGCAAAAGAACACACTGCGTCTGGGATTGGAATCAGACATCAAAAGAATGAATAGCAGCTAGAAAGGATTGTCCAGAGCAGAGTTTGATGGAGAATTCTGGTGGGCGGCCTGTACTCCTCGACAAGAGGTAACAGGTGTAAGTAATACATATATATAGACTCGACTTACCGATTCGACCAAATATTTTCTTCAATAGCAATAACATCTTCTACCTTCACTTGGTTAACTGTGGTAACACTGAAAATGAGAAACAAAATTTATAAAACACTATGATAACAGAGGTGAATAAGAGAAAAAGATGAGAAAACCAGGTTTATGAAGTTATGTAACAATTTGTAAGATTAACAAATTGCCGAGTTCAATATATCAGTTGAAGATCAATTAAACAGTAAAGCATATGTAAAACTTACAACAATCTTCGTAACATTATACTAGAATATTAGATTTCATTTTAATTATGAGGTCAATACTGACAGTTTTATAAAATCTAACATTAACGATACATTAAATGTTGAAGGATAGTCAAAGTTATGGAAAAACTACTTATGAATAATAAACATCACAAAACGATCATCAAATCAGTGTAATATAAATGACCTAAATCAATTCAACATATTTATCAGATCGATACAAGTTAAACTTCAATTCACTGTTGAAATTATAAAACACACCTTATTCCCTGTATTGCTCTTTTTAATTAAAAGTAAGACTAGAAACAGAAATTCATTACTGGTTTAACAATGTCCAATATATATATATATATATATATATATATATATATATATATATATCCATGATTTCATCAAAATTAAGGTTTGGTAGAGAAAATAATGAAAATTGTTACAATAATTTTCTTTATCAATAAGTTGGTAATTGCAAGTATTCAAAATTCTGTAGAATAATTACTTCCTTTCTGAATACAGAAACGTGAATGTAATCTAACTGTGCTGTGACGTGCGATGTCCGAAATCTGATACTCAAACATGGTATGCTACGCGCCGACCACTACCCAACTGACTACTTGAGCGAGTACGTGCATTGGGCTACCAAATGAAATGTACAAATACCCATTCATATATATAAATATATATATATCCTTAGGAAATTGAACCAATAAAATGCACTTGACCTTTGGGTCATAAACTGGACTTTTCATTAGGCTACTTCTAACTGACTCTCTATATCAAACTGATATACCAAGTACATGTTTATTTACTCAATTTTGAGGTTAACAGTTTATGTTAGAGTTACAAGACCATATAGTCTGAAGTAAGAAGAGTACAGTTCGAATCTGATATTTACTTGCCAAAACCACTGTAAAATAGAAAAGATTGGTTGAGTGGAAAGTTCTCTTTTCGGTAGATTTCGTTTTCAAAGCTGTACAATTGCAAGTATCTACTTATTGTTCTAGATTATAATTATTACAATAATAGTCTTATTGTTATAAAATAGTGTAATAAACTAGACATATTATTAATAAACAAAAAAAGGAAATACTAACAAACATTAATTAAAAATCAATAATTTACCCATTACGAAAAGGTAAGTGTTGAATACAGTGTGTTTGGGTCCAGTCAAAAATTTTCGGAACAAACTCTTCCAATTTCGCAAACAAAGTTTTCGGTTCAATACCAGAAGCGTACCTTAGTTACAAAAGTTAAAGTGTAACAATGAACTTGATAAAAAAAACAACACATTGTTTCTTTTTTGCTTTTTACTAAAAAGAGTTAGAAGTAATAGTCACCAATGACTTATGAATTTACTTCTCATAATAATTACGAAATAAAACTGTACAACGAATTTGAAAGACTAGCAATTACCGGCAATTTTATTTTGACAAAATGAACTGTAAAATAGTTGCCATCAGAATGGGTTTATGGAGATTGCAGTAATTTTAATAGTTGAATTCATGGATCGATTGAAGTTAGACATTAACATCGTTGGATGCTGTCTCAGTGGTCTAGAGGTTAAGTATTCACACGCGAGACCGAAGGCCATGGATCAGAATCCCGCGTGCAGGACCACGGATGAGCACTGCTGAGGAGTCCCATATTAGGACGAAACGGCTGTTCAGTGCTTCCAGTTTTTCGATGGTGGTCTAGCTTACATCAACTTATGAATTCAACTATTAAAATTGATATCAAACTACACTCAGTAAATTGAAAAAAAAACTGTCAAGAAACGATAACATGTAAAGAACCTGTAGAAACGGTTAAATAATGGATATTTATTTTCGGACAGTATTAAAACTCTCAAATTGAATTGTTTTCCAGACTGAGAACAATAGCTGATGATTAATTAAAGACTAAACTATAGTATAGACTACTTAAATAGGAGAACAAGCAATGGGTAGATAGATTAAAATGATTTTGTTGTGCAGTATCTGTCAAAATAATTTCAACCGTTAAAATATACCTAATCTAAGTACTTTCATATGCTTCCAATATTTTACTATACATTTGAAATATATTCTACCTGAAAAATATAATAAACAAAAAGATGATTCCCATATTATCAAGATTTTGTAAACAAAATGAAAAATTAATAAAATTCCCTTATAAATTATATTCATTTTAAACTTCTGAATCCACATACTCTCAACATGACCACGTTATGCGTCACTTTAAAAAGTTATCAATGCCAAAAATGAACTTTAAGTTAAAACAACTGTTTCGAAGCAAAATATGACAGTTACAATGACAATGTAATTGGCTCTATATAATAAAATTAATTCAGCAATTAATGAAAGTATAAGAATTCAACTTACAGTGTAATTGGCTATCATCAAATAAAAATATGTATAACATTGCAAAAAGGCATGAGGAAGAAAGTTATAGTGATTTAACCATTAGAACTCACATTTGTAGAACTACTGAAGGACGATAGATGAGCCCCGAAACAATTTGTAAAGCATCATCTCTTTGGATATTAGGTCTAGAAATTATCTAAAAACCACCAACGAAAGAAACATTTTTACTTAGAGAGAAAATGATGAGATTAAAAGACGAACTTTGAAAAGGAAATCAATATACAATTTCTTAATTTAAATGGCAAACGTAAATACAACAATGTGGTAATCTTTAAATACTGTATGTATAATTAATTATGTTATACGTACTTGTTTTCCAACAATCAGATCTGAAACTTAAATTTAGCTCCACACATTTCGGTTCCAGAAGCTGTGTACTAGCTATAACAATTATATAATATCAGTGACTCAAAGCCTATTATACAGTTCAAGTCTTGGTCACTGGGTTTAATGAAATCTATCCGAGACAAAATTTAGGAGCTGGTACATTTTAATACTATCATACATAGTAATCGATAATCAGCTGCATGAGTAACAGATGTTATCACCAGAGAGAAGTCTAAGGTGATCTTAACTGGGTTAATAACATTAGTGTACTTTTCCAGCTGTAGTCATTAACTACTCGATAAGCAGTCTTATAAAACTTTCTTGATTCATCAGTGAATGTTCAAATATGTTTCATTAAGTAAGTCTATTAGTAAACAATAAAACAAACAACAATATAAGTAAATAAGTAGTGATAGAAGTAAGAACGAGTAAATCTCCTTAATTTTGGATAAAAGGTATGAATAAATATTAATACGTGCACATCATATGCAGACTAGTTAATCTGATATCTTACTTTTGTTCAAGTAGTATAATATAAGTCATAATACTAAAACTTAACAGTGAGCAACAGATAGACAAGTTAAGGCATAACACAACATATGATAACCATATCTTTTGATGATTGCGCAACCCATTCATACGTTAAGCCATATAATAAAAAACGGATAACAGGAACCACAACTAATCTATTGCTTAATATATATACCAAGAATAAAACGGAAAAAATCAACTGCATAAAACAGACAAAACTAAATAATCAAAAAATACGTGAAGTTACTGAGCTTTCGCGTAACTTTTAGAAACTATTTTATTGGAGGAATAGGATCGAAATGCGTACACCAAAAAAACAACTAAAAAAAACTGCTGAACACAGTCACCAGATAAGAAACAAGATCTATCTATAAAGGTAAAATAATACAATAAGAATCCCTCATGAATTGGGCCCTAGTATAAAAAGGTGGAGAAAATTATGATATTTTTGCAAATCATTTTGCCATGGAAATGAATGACAAGGATCGGTTGAAGTTAGACATTAACACCGTTGGATGCCGGCTCAGTGGTCTATCGGTTAAGGGATCTGGCTCGAGACTGGTAGGTCCTGGGTTCGAATCTCGTGAGTGCGAGATCGTGCATGAGCACTGCTGAGGGGTCCCATAATAGGACGAAACGGCCGTCCAGTGCTCCCAGGTTTTCGATTGTGATCTAGCTTTAATTGACTCATGATTTCAACTTTGAAAAATACTGAAATCTCCACAAATCCCCTTCTGATTATAACGACAAAGAGTTTGAATTATCTGAAAATGAAATCCTCTCTAATATTGTTCTTCATGTGTATAATTTTTTTAAATATGACAGTGATATTTACGTAAATTTTTAAAAAAAATTATGTAGTTACATGTAACGTATGAAGTATATAGGTAAAAATTGCAATATATAATTTACAAGAGGGAAATGCTTGTTAAAACAACAATATCAAAACATTTAAACGTTACTAAAATAGTTCAAAAATTGGACAGATTAAGAAAGTAAACACTAACTAATCTGCATTTATGATATTCATAAGATAAATTAGTATTTAAGCTTAGAGTATACAGAAAGTTGAATGAAACACCAAAAATCATGACTTATTTCTTAAAATTGATTATTTAACGATATTCAAGTTCACTAATTCCAATAGTCAAATAAAAATGATTAAAAATATAGATACACATTTTGGTGTTTCTAAAATTTTTATAACAAAATAACGAAACATTTACCTTTTGAAAAAGTTCATGCACTAAACTACCGGTCAACATTACATCAGACTGAGAATTATATATTGGATTTGAATTGATAACATTAATTTCATTATCTTCACTATAACCACCATCAGTAACCCAAAAGTATTCCAATACTACACGTCTTAAACAATTTAAACTACTAACAACTTTTGTAGTCGGTAATAAATAATCTGGATTTAAACATATAGCCGTACAATCATTACGAGTCCTATTATTATTATCATCTGATATAATTACAGTAGAATTATTATGTACAGGATTTTTTTTATCACCATATACATTTAGAATGATATTTATAATGTCTTTTATTCGAATAGATGTATCGAACCTGAAAAAAATAAAATACACAACACACATTTAATGTTCTTATTTCAAAAAAATTAATGAAAAACATTTACGATGGTTAAGTAGGATAAAATTTTATGGATTACATCACAGACTGATTTTATTCAAACAAATAATGAACGTCAAAAACGTTTGGGAGGTGTTTTAATATAGGAATTCTTAGCAGTGTTTCCACGATCCTGTCGGGGATCGAACCCAGGACATGGGTTTCGAGATAACCACTAAGAAAAGAACAACTGCTTTAATTTTATCAAAGTCTCAATATGGTCATACACAAGAGAAATCGAAGGAGTTGCGATAAATATATAATATAATATCTAACTGTTACTTGAAACAGTATCGTCAAAAAATTTACTGTGAACTTATTAAAACTTATCCTACTAGAAGTTTATCAAGGAGTGATTCAACTGGTAGAAAACATCAGAATAATTTCAAGAAATATCGGATAACCTGTGAACGATGTCAAACTCTACAAGTTCAACTACTAAGTCATTCATTGACGGATAAAACCACAGGGCAACATTGATAAATTGAACAAAGAAAGTCGATAGAAAATAAAGATTTTTAAAAAAATGTAACGCAACTTTTTAAAGATGGATTATATTACTAAAAAAGACAGTAACAATCGATAAAAAGTGAACAGTTAATTACTTACCAAGAATCACGTAGTATGACATTCATTTTGGTTCGATTATCAGTTGTACCACTAACATCATCTAATTGAACAACTAGTTCAATTTGGTCACTATAAAACATAACATAAACAAGTAGATTTACGTATAAATAGAAAATTAGCTTTTAATTTGAACAACTATAGGAAGAAGTGGGAAATACTGACCCAAAAATGTTTAAAAACTGACTACATTCAATAGCACTAAAATATATATATCCGAACATATATAAACAGACTGTATATCTTCAAACTTATTGTATCGCTGAAATTATAACTTCTTAATAAACAGTCATGAGCTGTGCACAAAGAATCACATTCTTTGTCGTATTTATACGAGTTTTAACTTAGCACGATAAAACTTTAGTTACAACATTGATTTTTCACTAGATGTTTATTCAGTTATTCTTCTTATACTCTTTTCTAAACACATTTTGTTACCTGACTATATCAGCTACCGTGACGTAGTACTCAGACTTATCTACTAAGATAACCCAGCTGGGCTTTAACTGATAGAACAGTTGTTTCTTTAGGTCCTGTCAAAAAGGTCAGATTGGTTAAAGAGCTGTAAATCGGGCCCTAAAAATAGCACACCTTAATTTATTCTGCAGATTTTCGCTTTCTGTGATAAGGCTTTTTGAAGTACGGAGGTACTACATCAAGAAATTCATGAACGAAAACTGTGTAACTAAAATCAAGCACTTGCTCTTGGGCTCTGTGGTTACCCCTTCGGACTAATACTAAACCCGTTTCATTTACAACTACCTCAAGAAATATCCTTTCAAGACGTGAGCAACTAAGAAGTAACAACCGATTTCATACCTCTGACAGCACTTAACTGATTTTATTTCTAAAACATAAACACAGTTACTTATCTAAACTCGATTACTTTTATCCCATTTCTGTGTAAATTAAACGAATTTCGATGAACTTTCATGATTGTTTACCTCTTTAACTTGCTGACGTTTATTCAAAAGAATGTTTTTTATTTGTTTGATACACCACAATTAATATCACTGAGCACGTGTAACTTTTAGAGAATGGAATCACTGAAGAAAAAAGAAAACGTTACTGAACTATCATTGCTTCTTCTTTTTTTCCGTATTTTGACGTTATTTTGTGTCTTTCAGAAAAGTTAAAATAAATGACGGTAATGATTTAAACACAGCACGTAAATTATAAAGCCTATGATTATCTTTTATTCTGACAATGAGAGCTTACATTTGATTTTTAGAAAAAAAGATTTTTTGATTAATCAAACATAATTAATATATGTAACCAAGGCGAACTACGTACAACGAAACAGTACAATAGGGGGAAAAACAATTACTGAAACAATTATAAATGGATAATTTTTTAACAGATAAATCCATTAGATTGACATATTCAATTGTGTTGTACAGATGAAGTATTATTTATGCTATTCTATCTAGTATGTGAACCAAAAAAAATCAGTTTATGTGGTTCAACTTAGTGAATTTTGTTCACACAGTGTGAATTCTTAATAAAACGAGGAAGCAAAAAAACAAAAAAAAAGATGGATATATCTAAACTGTCAGTTACACACAAATTCTTATGAGAATAAAGTGTTTAAATATATAATTCGAAAGTCGTGCAAATTTTCAAAAATCAGTAATGACAAATGTTGAATGAAATAAAAAAAAATGTATTTAGATTTTCATCTATATACATTTTTCCGTATGAAATGATGTCGAAGGTATCGTAAAACAAATGCGATTGTTGTTGTCGTTGTTGTATGACCTTAGTGATATAAAGTTAAAAATTTTCCGAAGTAGTTTGTTAAATACTACTTCGTGGATTGAATAACATTTCTCAAGTGTTCTTACGAATAATCATGCATACAATCTATAAATATGATAACTCAAATGAAAATTTTAACATATCATTGAAAATATCCTTAAACAACATGTACTAATTAACCTCTGGAACACTTAGATGAGAATGTTAATTCCTGAGACCGAGTTAATTGGAAACTCCTAACTCCTCTAAAATACTCTTAGGTCAACTACAACTCACAGAGACGTCTTCCTATGAGTTGTAGTTGTGTCGAGGAACGGGGAAGTAGTTAATAATATACAACAGAGTACAATAAACGATGAAAATGTAAATTATTATTATCACCATGTTAAGGTACCAAATAATACACCACGCCATTAGTTTTAGTGCATAGCACCAAATGAATTATTAGGAAATACAAAAATGTTTCATATGATAAAGTTTGCAATATAAGATCACAGAGTATGTTTTACAATCTTTTTCTACACAATGGACGCTTAAAGATCAACTGCAACAACATAAACGCAAAAAAAATTATTATTCATCAAAAAAATTATGATGACTTAAGCATGTAAATATAAAAGGTATTTCATTAGACAAACTAATGATAACCAACCATTTGTTATTTATTTGCACAACAGTCCCACGTAAAAATGATTGGTCCGGAATTTGAAGTAATTGATCGTCAACAGTACGCTGTTGCTTTAACCTTTTTAAGAAAAAGAAACATTTGGATAATCAATAATTCTTGCAATAATAAAATTACCATACACTGCGAAACTGCATAGGGTTAAAATTGAACTTATACACTCAGAAAAAATTAGCATAATCCATGAGGAAATACTCTACTGATAAGCTATGAAACAAGCGACGAAATATGGAGTTATGGCACATTACGTATGAAAACATCTCTTAATAACTAGCTTTGGTTAGTATCATTAGTCACCAACCATCACACTTGGTTCATATCTACTTCAAAACTTTAGAAAGTAATCTTGTGTTTCCTTACAACTACATTGATATATTTCAGTAGATCACAAGGACGCCAATGTACTACAATTATTTAGGTGGAAGATACCATAAAACCTACTCAAGAACTGATGGAAATGATCATAAACTTGACTATGGAAAATGCGTCACTTTGCTGAATAGCACAGTAACACCACAAATTGCATTTACACATTTGGAATTCAATGACTGTAATTATGACATATACAACGTATAAACGTTAACCACTACATTAAATAGGAATAATATATTTGTAAAATCTCAGCGAATGAATTTGAAGTAAATCCAACGTTTCGCCTGGCAATCTGGTCCAAGCTTTTTCAAGGAAATATGTTAACCACTACAATCTAAAAGAAAACACATTCCGAATGGCAGCACATGCACTAATGTAAGTATTATAAGTAAAATTAATCAACTCTAAATCTAAGGTTGGGATGATGTACGCAGTTAAAAACTATCTGTTTCATTGGGCCCACTCTAGTTTAACTGTAGATAATCGAGCAATGACTAACTGTGTGCATTTATTCTTTATATTTGTAATACCTCGCTGTGCTCCTCTGCTGATAATCTGTTAGAATTGTTTGTATTCTACAAGTAATTCTGGGGTATGACAGTGGGTTTCAACTTAATAAGGATAAGTGTTGAACAACTGAAGTGATGAAAGTGAGTATGATTATTTAAGGATACTATCCCATCCATTGTAACCGGCTGGAACAGATGGTAGTTGATAAAATGGTAACGTAAAATAAAGGTGAGTTGTGTATGATTAACATTTTTAGTCGACAGTAATCTTTTAGACAAATACTTAGAATCAAAGTGAGTTATTGAACTAGGATCCGAGACAATATAATTTTCCTTACAATCATTCGTTTCTTGGATGAACATGATAAGATTGCTAAAAACAATAACAAAAGGAAAGTGATTCTTCCTCAATTCAGTAGTGATTTATGGGATTGTTTTATAATTGTTGCTATTTTATCTCGTTTATTTCACATTATTTTTGAAGTTGTATAATATTTGTGTGAGGTACCTATAAGTTTATTTACTATACTATCACTGAGTAATTTGGGTAGCATCCAACCATTAATATAGGATATAATAGACCACATAGTGATGTACTAAACGAACTGACTGACTCTCATATATCCGAAAATATTATATCTGAAATAAACTGTCAAAAAAGGGCGATAACTATCAGGACTTCTGATTTCGAATTGATTTTTAAATAATATCGGAACCATTTTCAACCTCCTTAACCAACTTGTTTGTCTACCCTTTAGAAACATTAAGCACAAAAGAAAAGAGATGCGAACACAGACTTTACGTTATTACCAAATAAGAATTTAACTATCAAAATTTTTCAATTAAAAACGATTATAATAACAAGGAGCTACTTCCAACTTAGTATAATCTTACTAACAAATACAGGACTTCACCGTGTGAATAAGAAAAGACTCAGAGTGACCTTAATAGATCCGGTTAAAAGAAAACAATAAACTACTTACATAGTGAACTCTTCCTTAACAGGTGACCAATCACTTAGATTCAGTAACTGAAACGTCTCATCATGTACAGAGGATTGTGTATTGTCTTCATTATGACAATATATTTGTGGTGGATTTAGAGTGACTGCTTTTTTCTCAATATGCTTATAACTAGGTAGGTTATCTCCTTTGACAAGTTGGTCTAAAATGTCATCTAATGTAGACAATTCTTCATTATTTAGGTGGACTTCTCTAGTAACAGAATGTTTTGAATTTGTATCCCTTTTTGGTACATTTGTATCTTCAGGATTAGAAACGCTGCATTTGTTTAGCTTTCGGTAATTTAATGAATCTGAGGAATGTGCATTTGAAATGTCAGTTGCTTTACGCTTCGATGCCGAACAAGTAAGCAATGCCGTGGAAACCATCATTTTAGCACGGTTACTAGTAATCGCATAACGATGAGATATTTCATCACTAAATTCACTGTCCTTTGATGTTGTTTTAACAATTTGATCCTGAGGAGCATAATTTAAAAGGTCATAGTTTCCTCGACGGAGCTTAGCGGAAACTTGTGCTTGTCTGTTAGAACGCATTTTTTGATTTTCATTGTTATCGATGGGATCACTAGAAAGTAAATCATGCAGCTTTGATCGTAAAATCTCATCACGACGAACTGTAAGCGATGAACGACGAGCAACAACTTTCCGTCTGCATAACTTTGGAGATGAAACCTTATCGATGTTAACAGTTCCTAAAGCTGCTCTACCACTTAACGAAACTCCCAAAGTTCTGTTAGTAGAATCGGGTGTTCCAGGAATAATGAAGCTTTCATCGCAACTAGAGTGCTTTGGTTCTATGGATGAAGAAACGAACATTAGAAAAGTAAGTATGAATCTAAGGTCAAATTCTGATTCATCAATACAATACTAGAAATATTTGTGGATGGAAAATTAACTACGATTGTTATTTTATCTAATTTGCGAAGATATTAGGGAAAATTTATCTTCTATATGATTATATTTACTTAATACAAACACAAATTATAAAAATATTAACACTGACATTGTATGTATGAAATATATCTTGGACAACAAAAGGAAGCACGGGCCAGAATATAAACATACTCACAGTGATGACTTTCTAAAAGATGGTCTGGAAGTTCATTTATTTTGGAATTCGGACCATTTAGTAATGAGTTACCATCAACCATCATGTTTAAGTAACTTTTGCAAAATTTAATTAGATTAATTTAGAAAGTTGAAACAATAAGCGAGAAAAATTCTAAAACACTGACAATAAAAATAAGCAGTAGGATACCTATGAGTCCAACAACTGTGTTTGGCGATTCATGCAAGGACGTAACTGATGAAACTTCTGGTTTCTATTTCATTAAAACAAAAAAGCAATTAACTTGAGGTTGAAATAAAGACGATAGAGTTTATAACAGCATAAATCATAACAGAATAATCTAAACACAAATATATACAGTGGTAAGAGGATAAAATTTTACATTGGTAACTGAGTGATTGCAGTGACGTTTTCCGACTCCACATAGCTCTAAATTTTTCTTTTGACTTGCTTCAGAGTTGTATAGAAATTCATGACAGTAAATAAATTACCCTATCTAAAATGTGTAATATAATGAATATGTATCTGAGAGCAGGTCCAGAATTCGCAACATTACACCACATTTTAGGAGATGTTCTTATACAAGTAATACAGTGAAAGTTATCATCCAACACAAACCATATCTGTAGCAACGTAAGGTATAATTGAGGTACTTGGTAAACCATAACTCTGAGAGTGGCTTTTATGGAGTTTGTTATCCTAATAACACGAACAGCATACGAACCCACTCTATGGAAATTATTTGGTTCAGGTTAGGCCTATAATCAGTGTCACAACTAATTGCATTCAATTGAAGTGATATTAACTGTATACTTGAATAAGCACGTTACGAAGGTAATTACATAGTCATTTAATTGGTTAGTGGGTAGTTGCTGCACACAGACTGAACAAACAGGTTTTTTATCTGCATGCATGTGTAAACAATGATCTATTTTTAGACAATACTAACTTCCAGAATATTCATCGTCGATGTGTATTCGTGTGACCCGTCTATAACTCAAGCTTCAACTCTAAAACATTACAGTGCAACCAGCTACCAATGACTTTTCTTGTCTGTATTCTGATTATCCACTAATATTCAGTTAACTTGTCCGCTGATTAGACAAGAGTTGACATAGATGACTGGCTGTACCTACTATTACAACCACATAGCAAATCTAAATAATCCTCAAGTTAAATGCCAAATCACTGGAAAGAGTAAATGAGACTTGACTGTGTCTATGAAATGTCGTGAAAATCGCAAGAAAAGTTTAAGTGTCTTTGAGAAACGTTACGGTTCTAAATACAATACTTTCCAGCATTCGCTGTTTTCACAGGGCTATTCATATCTACTGACAACTCCATACAAGTAATGTCTTTCCATTTTCAAGAGTTTAAATGTGGTAATAAAAAGCATAAAATCAAGGTGGTAACGGCTTATTCATACAGACATTAAAATGACAGATGAGATAGTTTAACAAGATTAAACAATCTTCTCAACCGTTTCAAAACTACATAGTCTAATGAATTCGAACTGGGCATTTAATACGTCCTTAAGCCACAGGATTAACAGCATAGAATCCATTTGATGTAGAGATTGAAAAACACTTTTTTACAGGATCAATAATGTACTTGATGAAAGCACAATTTTCGCACCAAGCTGTGATTTGCATGAAACATGAAATCAACGAATTACTGATGGTGAATAGTAAATACATCATATAAAATGAAACAAATTATTCACAAAAATTCAACTACCAACGAAAAGGATGTGTACTCACCTTACCAAAAAAATTTAGTAGACTCGATTGTCTCATCCCGCCAAAACAATCTGCAAAATAATACTGTTTAAAATTTTACCAGACAAAAGCAAACACGGAGTAATGTAAAAAGAATGGATTTAGATTAACTAATCTAGATAACTTTGTAAGAAATAACTGCTGAAACCAATTAGTTAAGTGTCAAATCATATCCTCGAACTGCGATGGATAACCTTCGATTCCGTCAACTCAACTTATATCATTATTGCTAAGTTATCATGGAACGTAAAAATGCACAAGTCTAGTGGCACACAAGCAATGAATTTCATAGATCGTTTACGGAGTTTATGTGTTGTGGTACTCATATTGATATCTGACGATTTAGGATAAAATTAATTCTAATACCCACAAATGGAACCAGGAATTATATTGCATAGTGGAATGAACAAACTTTGTGGAAATTTATCATTATTAATATCTGCCTAATGGTCAATCTAATTATAGGGTTATCATCAAAACCTTGGAGAGAACACAACTTCATTTATAAGTGAGGTTAGGCATGATAAACATCGACTTACTTTGAAAAACATGAACAGTTTGTTTTAACTTATTACTAGAAGCTAGTATTCAGACTTTTTCTTCTAAAGCCTAATTTAAGAACATAAACATATTCTTTGTTCTAAATGCAATACCACTATTCACGTTTTACAACTTCAGGTCACTGAAATCAACAAATGTTTATTATGCGTATTGCACAAACAAAGGTTAGCAAGTTACGTTTGTTGTAGCTCAGAATTAGCCAGTCAATCAGTTATAGAAAATGTGGGACCTTACACAAATATGCATCGTCTCAACTCATCACACCTCACATCATCAAATAGATAAGTGAAACTTATAGAATGAGAACCAAAGGAGAGAAACTAGTACTCATTACAATGAAGAGTCGTACATTCTGAAAGTAATAAATGACACGAAAGTTAAGATTATGAGGACAACAAATAATGAGTGCGGTGACACTACCATGGTCAATTTTAAACCGTCACCCAACGCTCATAATCATGGATTATGATTATCACAAGTATCGTCACCTGGAATTTCAAAACTAGACGTGATGATACAACGCACCAGAAGTCATTGACTTTATGAATTGATTCCATGTTTTATCATATGCTAGTTCTTACCAGCTTACTCTATTCCAGATGGCATTGAAAGTAACGAAAGATGGGAAGTTTGTGTACTCATCAAACAGCTTACTGTGTCTACTCAGAACCTTACGCCTTACCTCAGAATTACTTAATTGATAATTTTATAAGTCTTTTGCAGATATATGTCAACAAACGCTAGTAACTTACTGAAGTCTTCTACCTTTGTACAGTGAAACAGGGCAAACAGCTTAAATTGATGTAGGTAAAGGTTAAAGACAGGTTACAGAAAAATTATACTTTTATACAACCTAAGTCTCTTGATTCCACAATCAGAAAAAAGATATCTACAATCAACTAACTATCCCACATTTATAAATAGCCGGAAAATAGGCGCGAAATTTACTTCAAACTCAAAGTAGTGAAGTTTAGAATCGAAATTAAATGGATATTAAAATATTCCAGTTTCGCCTAAACATAGAATGATCATAGATTAAACAAAATAATTTACTAAATATCATCGCAAAGTAGATCTCTGCCCCTTTTATAAAAAGGGAGATTAGTAATATGACATCAAGTCCAACCATACGAAGGCTTTGCTAAACAATGCTGTGAATAAATATCATTATTTATTTTACGAACGTAACTCACTAAACAGGTGACGTTTAGTTTATTCTCAGTTATGAGTCATACTATTGTAGGAAATACAGATGCCACTGCTTTCCACAACCATAGTAGGTCGAATCGGTTTTGAATCTAAGGTCAATGGCCGGAAACCGAGTGCTTTATTCGTTGAGATGACCACTACTTTGAAATCCATGACTACTCAAACACAAACATAGAAATCAGCAAAGTTCAACAGTAATTTAAGACATCTCCTCTTAAGTTGTTTATAACGTGACATTGATTAGCATATATATTACAGCGAACCACCAATAAACAGTACTTAAACGACATCCTGGACCCTGATTTATATTTTAGCATGATGTTATTTGGCTAACAGATTTAAAAGTGAATTTGGACCCGTAGTTAATGAAGGTAAGTAATTTCATGGTCGCTCAATAAAACATTTAATTACGCTCTTGATAACCAGAAATGTCAATTCATATTCTTCAATTTACATACCTCAAAGTATATTAGAACGAACTCTAGATCAACATACATCAATTATCTATCGTCTTAACAAACAAGTTTAGGTTCGTCCTAACCCTCACCTAGAACACCTTCAAAATTATAATTTTATGCTGTATTTTCAAAGAAGTTATTGTTGAAATACAAGTTGAGTACAAATGTAAAGTGACCGAAAATAATAATTACACAAATATTTGTAATTAATTACGAAAGCTTATTTTTATCGAAACGTTAAACAAACAAAATATCACATTATGCTCCTGTAAATTTGCAACAACCTGATCACAGTATTTACTATTTAACAGAATAAAAGATAAAAGAGAAAATCAACAACTTTATTATTTAGCAAGCAGATTAATTACAAGTAAAGATAAGCAGGAATACAACTTTTGTACACAAGGATATTCTGATAAAAAAAATAATGACAGGGATATACATACGTTATAATTGTTGGCTCTGTTTTACACATGACAAAATGAAGATATTAGATAAATGTGAGGGTTACAAGAAAAAGTATTTAAAATATGTAGCATTACAAGAACTGCTACAAGTTAGTAGCGAATAATTTCAGTGCTGGAGTTAGACTATCTTTTCCGTTTGAATATTATCACTGGAATTTCTAACACGAAGTAATTCAGATTCAATTCCTACTTCGGAACTGGATTCTTGATTTGAAAGAAGAGGGTTAGTTTCGTTGTCACAATATACGATATTATTACAATCGACTTCATCAGCGTCAAGGGATACAATTTGGTGATAAGTTCCTGAAAGTCTGCGACAACGTGAAAGTTGACGGTCGGAGGAGAAATTAAAATGTCTTACACTATGACCTGTAGTTAAATAAAATCAAATGTGATCAATTAGATAAACATCATTGAGGATCAGTGACTTATATTTTTAAAATGGATGACTGACTCGATATTGAAAAAAAATTGAAGATAACCCCAAAGTAAGTAACGAGTAAATTTTTCTAGACTAAAAGCAATAATTGATATTGCAATCACAATTCATTTCAAAAGAAATTTTATCATGGATTCATATCGATTTAAAGAGAACTAGGAACTAGGAAACAACGACAGACATTACGACCCCACGCTGAATCAAACATAAGACCTAAACGACTCTTGATTTTACATTTGGGGAGCAACCTAGCTGATAAAACAGGTATTCAGTCATGACTTTGTTTAAAATTATATTCCATATGATGTTAATCTGTGCTAAAAATGATATTCATACTGACCAACTCCCTAAAAGATAACTCATTGATAATTCGACCAATTCATCAAGCTGCCAGCAGAATCTTTCTAAATTTTGAATTAGTATTAAAAAATAACTGACAACCTGGTTGTGCAAAGACGATCATTGTAAATAAGAGTGTGTAACGTTATTTGAGTAAAAAAGAAAACGTCTTAAGTAGAATATAAAACACAAATACGAGATCATTTTAATTCTAAACAAGTTGTTCAAATATAAGAAATCCAGAAAAAGTAATTTCATATCCTACTATGCTGTTAGGAAAAGGATATCATCAAAGCAATAAAATAAGGAATTAGAAGAGGATAATCACTGTTATATTGTGAGGCACTATATTTATTATTATTTATTTAAACACATAAATATTGGTACAATGAAGCACCAGATAAATATGCGCCTCACAAATCTCATTCGATTTGTGTGAGGGCTGTGATACTGCTCAGGTGCCCAAACTGAAGCAGGTGGTTTTCTTACGGGACCACACCCGGAGCCTTTGACCGAAAGATCTAATCCACAAGGCAGTGGAGCATCGTGAGGAGATGCAGTCCCATGGTAACCGGTGATCAACGGTTGATTCGTACGCCATTTGTTCCATCAGGATACTGGAGCCCATGTGCACCATTGGTTTGGAATCAGGGTTTTCCAACTCCCCTAGGTGGACCCTCCGTGTCCACCAACCCGGTTAAAGCGCCGGACATTCGCTTTTCGTCCTCTCACTTTCGTAAACAACACCCCCGCCACGAGAAGGCAGTGAGCAGGACTTCCCTGGCAGAGGCTATATATTCGCTGGCCATGTGAGGGCATTTCGAGAGGGAGAGGTGGCTCTCCCCACTCTCGGCCGTACCAGGGCATTTGGGGGCTAATCGGTATCGTGTGCTAAACTCAAAAGACAGAATTCCGATTACCGATTAGTTTAGTTAACCTATATCGTCAATGGGACCGGTAACCTTCCAAATACTAAATGATACATCGAATGATAAATATCAAGCAAGAGCCCCACCAACCCATTAGTCAGTCAAAAAACGAAGATAGAAAGCAGATCGGTACTCTATCATACTCGGTTCAATTATGACTCAAAGCACACACAATCATAAACTTGAGATCCCTGACCATACAGTACACTAAATAAAAACTCACACTTCAAACATAATCAAGCCACAAGTGGAAGAGAAGCGAAGCAAAGAGTAAGTAGCTAATTATCATTAATTAGGGAATATTAAAACGCATAACGACAGTTAATAGGTCCACTGAAAGCTTGCAATAGGGGGAATATAAAAATGAAGCAATACAGCTGTCTATTAACCATACAATAAAAATATGAATCATAGCAATTTAAAAAACAGTTCTAAAAGTTCCGACCTTTCCATCCTGATTTAATAATTACGAGATATTATTAACTCACCGATGTGTCTGACATGTTCTACAACATCTCGTCGCATATCAGACACATCCCACATAGACCGCCATGAGTAACAACAACTCGTTGGTTCCGAATTAGGGTCCACATATGGCGTCCAAGTGAAAGAGAAGTGATGAGCTATTGCGGCAATGAACATCTCGATACATATAGCGAAATTCTGTATAGGGACAAAACAAAATAGTTCGTATAAAAAGTTAAGCAATCCTATCAGCCAGGTTGTTTGAGTGGTTGATTAAAAAAATGGAGATAAGCTAGAGTAGACTAACTTTTTAAAAATCTTTTAATCATAAAAAACCAAGAAGGAAAAACAGTGGAATAAAGTAAAGTAAAGAATACAACGTTAAAACAAGATCAAATAAATTAGGGTATAAATAAAGCTATTAGATATCTCCCCTGAAACTATATCGTTCGATTGCACGTTAAACAATTCCAACACTCTCCGTGAAATGGAATGCATAAAAATATCTTATTTCTTCTTTACACGGAGAATGGAAGCAAACATTTTAGGAATGTGCTTTTGAAGGTCTAAGGATTGGGTTGATAGCACAAACCTCGCTCCATCAACTACAGTTTGGTTAGTGGGATAGCATCGCTACCCTTCACAAAATTCCATAAGACTCAAAGCCGAGTACTTTATCCTTTACATATGTAAATATAACTAAAAAGTTAAGTATTAGACAACTCTCATTTGGACATTAAAAACACGAAGTTCAGCGAAGGGATCTCTTGTCAACGAATTTATTATCAAGCTTTACAATCGTATATATATATATATGAAAATTTTTGTTAAAGTGCTAGTTTCGCGAGGATACATGAGCAAGGAATAACCATGATGATGTAATCGAAAGATTATAACACTATATTACGTAATGTGAGTAATAACAATAGACTTCATAAGTTAATGACGAATTATAACGTAAATGTAAGATGATTAGAATATTTTTGTTACAAGAATTAAAGGTAATAGAGGTGTGAAATAAATGAAGCGATATCATGAGCAATTATGAATAAAATAATGAGAATATGAGACATAATTAAAGGGAGGAATCCAATAATAGTAATGATAGTAATAGTAATAATAAATAAATAAATAAATAACAATAACAATAGATTAAGGCCAAGGAAACGATAATATTAGGACGTACTTCTTTTGTACGCACAGTTCTGGCTTGAGCTCATGGATGGTAAGAGCTTCTGCTATTTACAAGAGTTGGAAACGGAGAAATTTAGGTAGATTTGGACGAATCGTATATACAACCTTAAAATCAACCAGTGGATCCGCAGAATGATTAGAGCTGATTAGATGTTCAAGTATGGAACCTCTAAAGGCTTTCATATCACCCTTATAGAACCACACTGGGACATGTTCTCGTATCTGGATTGAAAGCGAGCGCTGGCTAAGGCCAATGTACCTTGCTCCACAAGAGCAGGTGAACTGGTAGATGCATATGGAGGCGACTAGACGGGGAAGTTTATCCTCTATGGATACAGAAAACAAGTTCCTACTAATGAACTTAAGTGATGTAAGACATACTGTGAACATTTTATTAAGAAAATGATCAATCGCATAAACTATAGATTTGGTTAGCATATGCAGAGTTTACATCACAGTGTGTAATTGTTACTAACATCGAAATGGTCTTCAAAGAAGCATCAAAATATATATTTCTTTTAAAAATCCGAACTACTAACAAGTAGCATAAACAATATAACAAAACATGGTTAGCAGAAACTGACCAGTTGCAGTCCTAACAAATCGATGGGAAGATTCAAACAAACAATACTAAGTTGAATTTAATATAACAAAACGTTGTTATCAAATTACGAAAATTTCATCCTTACTTGTAATGCAATACCAATAGATTGGACATCATATAGTTTCCAGGCTTCCACTTTTCTGATAACACCAGTAGCAGCAAGTACTGCGATTAAAATGGACTGCCTATTAGGATAAACCAAACAGAATTTAAAACAGCATCAATTTATAAGCTACTTTCTAAGATTAAACTAAAAAATGCCGACAAAACTGAAGCAGAAAATGCAAAAGAAAATGATAAGAATGATATGTTACTGAATTCATAGTACAGAGGAACTAGTAGCCAATAAATAAGAACTTTTAATTCCACTATATGATAGAATCCATTAATGATGCTCTGAATGAAATGGTTTCATCTTGAATAGAGGTGGATTGTGAAGACGTGGCTCGTTGCGCTTTCGTGTTGAATTCTGCATTATTATAAACCGACAAACCAAAGTGATAAAGAAATTTGTAAGAACATATTGAGTCACAGATTCAACCTTGTAAATATTCGACAGAAATACGAACCGTTACCAAACTTTATTTAATGAAAAAATAAGGCAATAATATCATGCATTTACACAAGGAATCTATTGATAATTGAATTAAATACCCTCCTTTAATGAACGTTGTGGTTAATTTGCATCTTAGCTGATTACGTAAGCTACAACGAACAATAACGTCTCATATCGTGGAAATGTAATCATAGGAAGTGTTTGTAGGTGGATGACGTACTTATTGATCTCAGGTGAAAGTTAGCATTATGATTTATTCGAGCATCATTGTCTGAAACAGTATAGTAACCGACTAAGCATCATCTCGGACAGAGTAGAGTTTCAGATGACAGAGGTATACGATTAGAGGCAGTGGTTGAAGTCCAAAGGTTGGTAGATGACAATTTATAGTTGTAAGTCATAATCCGTATATATATATATATATATATATATATATATATATATATATATATATAATTTATCATACTGCCCCCCAAATGCCCTGGTACGGCCGAGAGTGGGGAGAGCCTGCTCTCCCTCTCGAAATGCTCTCACATGGCCACGCGAATATATAGCCTCTGCCAGGGAAGTCCTGCTCACTGCCTTCTCGTGGCGGGGGCGTTGTTTACGAAAGTGAGAGGACGAAAAGCGAATGTCCGGCGCTTTAACCGGGTTGGTGGACACGGAGGGTCCACCTAGGGGAGTTGGAAAACCCTGATTCCAAACCAATGGTGCACATGGGCTCCAGTATCCTGATGGAACAAATGGCGTACGAATCAACCGTTGATCACCGGTTACCATGGGACTGCATCTCCTCACGATGCTCCACTGCCTTGTGGATTAGATCTTTCGGTCAAAGGCTCCGGGTGTGGTCCCCTAAGAAAACCACCTGCTTCAGTTTGGGCACCTGGGCAGTATCACAGCCCTCAAGCAAATCGAATGGGATTTGTATGGCGCATATTTATCTGGTGCTTCATTGTACCAATATTTATGTGTTTAAATAAATAATAATAATAAATAGATGACGACCAACGTTTATGGATAAAATGATGAACAGAATGTTAAGTGATAGATTATGAATAATGATACTATGCGACCAGCTTAAAACTGCTGGCGACATGACTTCTCTTCAAAGTATGTGCTGACGATGTCTCTGAGACGTACAAAGAAAGCTTCACAACTAAACCATCCAAATTACAAAACATAACACCTCCAACATCATCATCCTAAGCGACAAATATTCTCCATCAACAACAAGTTATTTACGTAAGACTCCAAATAAATTCTTGTCCAAAACACAACTGGCCATCAAAATAACCTTTCTTCCACGAAAATGATTTACTTATGAACAGAACAACGCACAAATAAAGACAAAAAAAATGTTATTTGTTACGTAAGTGGTTGAAGATTGCAATTTTCGTAGTTCATTTAAGCGCTAATAGGGTTAAGAATTGATCATCAGGTTTAAGGCATTCTAATCTTATCCGTCCATAAAATTAACTCCATAGTCTCCATGGTACTCGCGAAAATTAGCTTGTTGCTTTCAATCAAGTTATATTTGAGATTTCTTGGTTTTAACACACTCAGTATCTGAAATACGCACTAAAATCGGTCACTAGTGTTTTGTATCTACAATCAACTTTTAAATTGATCTAGTCAACATTATATTGCCCTAAAAGTAGGTTGACTACTTCCGCATATATCTCTTGAGTAAGATATTAACAGTGAAATACATCCGATGGTCTATAGAATAAAAGATCATATTGCTTGAATTTAGTGTCGAGAAAACCGTCATTTATAAAATACAATTCTTGTAAGTTCAAATTATGATGACTGTATTTTCAACAAAAAGTAATCAAACTCACCAGAAAGACATGAAAACAACGAATTTAACGCATAGAAATTTGGCGACCGGTTTCATTGGACTTAATTCTAGTCGAGTACATCGATAGAACATTACTAAACAATAAAGTGCCCACTGAAAGAAAGGTAACAAAAAACTTTAGGAAAAATCATGTATTATGATTTTTCAGAGAAATGGAACAAAAGGTATTTTGAAATAAATTATAAATCTACGAACCTAAATGGTTGTATTAGCGAAATATAATATCTTTCAAACCCAACTAGACAAATTCAAGTGATAATAACAGACTGATTGTAAGTAGGAAGATAAATTTCATTAAGCAGAACGGTTAAAAAACCTATAAACTCTAAACTAAATAAAACACAACACTTCCAGGTGTTATAGATAGCTGAATAAATTTCACTCAGTAAGTATTAATAAAAAAGTCTACATTTTCCAACTTATGTTTGTAGGCACAAGATCAACATTTAGTCAGTGGTTGGCAGAATTTTATTTGGTTTGAAAACATATCTTACTACTGATCGTCGTCACGTGAAGAACTTTCAAAAACTAGGGGATATGGGACGATTTTCCCACCCCCATTTGTAAACATTATAAGAACCACTGAAAATATTTTGACGAAGTTCCTTTAAAACAGAAATGTTTATGAACTTCAGTCAGTCGTTAACAATGTTGCACCCAACATACGTGTGCATTGGTATGAGTTGCTACACCAAAGCTGCAAGGAACTAACATGAAAATCAAAAATGTCAAAATACGGATAGTGTTAACGACAGTAAACAACCACACAAACAACATAGAAACCATTGTAGGTTGGGTTTGGACCGGCTGAACAAGTGTAACACACCATCCAGTCGGACAACGCAATTGTTAACCTAAATGAATATCTACGACAAAATTGAATGATTCCGAAAAGTGAACAGCCCTGAAGAAACCCAATTAATATGGCAGATTCACATGACAGTTCGCCATAGCATGACTCAACTGACAGTATTCGAGTAAGGTCTTCCACGAACTAACATATTTTATTGGTAGTTCTTTTAATGACAGATACTGACACAAAACAGTTTGAAAGGTTGAAATGTGATCTTGAGATCAAGAAATAGAACTGCCGTCAGGTGTTGAAAAGTGTTTTCATGTTCTAAAATTTATTAAAGTGAATAAGTGATCCACACAATCATGAATAGGTCCGAAATCTAATTAGTTCATTCAGGTACATTGTTAATAAACCTCTAATTACGGGCTAGGTAATTGTATATCGTAATATCTTGAGGAACTTTATCAACCAAGCAAGGTCTATCACACTTATTAGGAGAGCATTAGAGTACCTCATAATACGATGGAACAATTGGATGTGGTCTCGAGAATCGCCAGATGAGATCAATGTTACATTATCATATAGTTATAAAAGTTTTGGATTTTCGAGATACATATTTGTTTTTCAACCGGTTCTAATCTAAATTGTGGAAAATAGGGAATATGATAACATATTTTACCTTGATATTATTTTTGCCTGGAATTCTAAGGGTTAAACTGAGATTAACTCAAAGGATAGTTTTATAAAAGCCCACCGTCGAGGTTAACGATATATTCACCTTTCAAGTTAACTGTGTAAACCAACTAATTTGAATTGATTTTGGAATTGTAAAATATTCGTAAAAGCTGTGACGTAAAAACTCCTGAATTTCAGCCAAGAAACTAACTCGAATGCACATGAACTACAAAAGTACTGAATACTTTATGAATAACTAATAAACATCAAACTTTATTAAAATATCCATTTGAAGAGTAACATAAATGAAGTGTATAATTCAAATGAGGAAAAATAGTAAAAACTTATAGTACGTTACTCACGATTTGAGAAACATTGTTTACAATAGTCAAGTAAAGGAACGCGTGGCGAAAGCTGAAGTCTCCTTCACCATAAACGCCAACCATTTCACATATTCTGTAATCAGATAAATTTCATATAATTTTATCAGAAAACTGAAATTTCAAATCGTAAAAATAAAAAAGTCCAACCACATAAAATCTGTGGACATCTACTAGTTGTCGAGAATTTATTCCACTAACTGATATTTATAAATAAGATGCTACTAAATAAAATGAAGTTTTAGATGTTGTGTGACTCATTCTGAGTGCGTCCAAACAAAACAAAATTTTCATAAACAAATAAAACAGAATAAACTCTACTCCTTTCAACAAAAGAATACTTGCCACTAAGAGTGTAAAATAAATATGCAGCATTAATGTCAAAACCTTCGTTTATTTATGATGCTGTCTTTAGTCATCAGATTAAATTGTCTCTACAACGGACTCCAAGGGAGCAGTGACGTTCCGGAACACGTAAACCCATACAACGATCCGTTACGTCGTCAGGTTATTTCATAAAATAATTGTCTCTCCTCACAAAACTACTGTAATTTAACACAGAAACACCATAAACCATGAAAGTGATTGATATAACTGGGGAGGTAAGATCATGTGAATATTTAAATGGGTATTATATTCTACAAAGCATAAAATAGCAATGCAAGATGATAAATCTTTGGCAGCAGTTTTAGTTGTTTGATTTGATATTTACCTAGAACATAAGTGGCTCCATATAGCAGTTGGAAGAGGAGTTTAGAGAAAAGATATGGTATTTGTTTTAAGATCAAATAATTGCCTAAAGCTGTACACGTGAGTACAGAGAAGAATAGATTAAAGCCAATAGTAAAAGAACTAAAATAGAAGAAACAGCAAGAAGGCTGATAACGATCAGGAAACTTGAAAGCTGAAGACATGTATACAATTCTTAATTTACAGTTCATTGAAACAAGTATAAACACTTGAAGTCATATATTGTTTGCAACTTAGGTGATAAAACCGCACTACGAATGAAAGATACCCACCAGAAGTTAGCTATTGAGTAGCATAGTCTTCAAAAAACAAATGCGCGTATATGAAAACCAACCTACAGTGCAATAGCAGTAGTTAGTGGACGAATGACGGTGTACTGCAAAGCCCCGTGACGACAGTGGTCAATGAATACTCTGCAACAGAGAAAAAAGATTGTCTTTATTCGGACTATCACTGAAGATATGAATAGTGTGGCATGAATCAAGCTGAGAGTACGGTATTTTTATAACAACAAAAGTATGTTTTTATAGATATCATAACTAAAAAGTACCTCTTGTGTCTATTTAATGTTAACAAGTGAATTAATTTGACATATTTTTTACTTTTAAAACATGATATCATCATACAAAGAAAAAGAAGCATAACATCAATGAAAGACCTAAAGACCAGGAAAAAATCTTCTTGGCTCAGTTATTGAGTACCATGATGAGGATTCACTTTCGATTTCTCCTGCCTTGGGTATTAAACTAAAGATTAGTTTGCATATTTTTGCCACGAATTAACATCAGCTGGAGTACTATAAAAGTCTTGGGTTACCAAATGATGCCAAATAATGACGAAAACAAACTACAAATAAAATCTAAGTCATAATTGTCTCCAAAACGTAAGATTTAGACAGGACAGTGATTGAAAATGAGTATTCATTTAAAGAAAGAAAATACACAAATTGGAAAGTATTTGCGTAATGCATAAAATGAGTAAGCTGACCGGAGATAAACACATTTAGGAAACAGATCAGTCTTAACACTTCACACTTTAAACAGAAAAAAGTAAACGACAAATTTAAGTTCAGCAAACCTAGGGTGGTGAGAAATTAGAAGTAGAGATCTAATGGACGAAAATCAACCAAACCAAAGGACATGTCTTTTAATCATTGACCCTGGAAGGGAAGTAAAGCACATCCACATGAACCTCTAAAATTTGTTTAGATTACCAAGGAGGGAAACTGGTATATGCACGCATAGTGAACGATAAGGGCAATGAAAGCGATACCTGAGGTAATGGTGTGAGTGCCACAAATATTTGAAGTGTCTTTTTATTCGGGGTCAAACCAAAAAAAAACAATTTAATTTCATAATACGAACTAACGAATTAAATCAAGACTGAGTACATAATGAGAGGTTGACTCAATAAGTGATTTCAACTTTCCTCTCGTTAATCTATGATTGTAGAAAAAGTGGTGAAAAATGAAGCCCTTTGTAATTTAAACAAACATTTGAAAGTAGATAAATGCGGATGAGTTTTAAGGGAAAAATAACCCCGGAGTTATTTGCAATCACGAAGATTTTGTAGAACAGACGAAACTCCACAGATACACAATCAAATTTTTTTCTATATCATTCTGGTAACAGAATTTTGTTTGCAAAGTGACAGCAGACAGTGATAATACGGCTTCAGAAGGAATGCCACAACTACTATTTAAAAATACAAGAGTTATCGAATTATGAGACTGAAACGTCGAGGACTGAACGGATGGTATAAATTCTTTTAAAACAAATGGGTCTTAAAATGGCCGATCTATGCTAAGAGTAGAATATTAACTAAAGTCTGAGAAAATTATGATGATAAACGTTACCTTCCCATTTTCCAAGAGCTTAAGAAACAAAACGGCGGCAAGTGTTTCATTTGTGGCTTCTGCTCAATAACGTATCGTAAGTCAGGAAACTCGCTCCTCAAGTAATTAAGCAAGAAAGCAAGAAAGTTGTAAATGACATAAGCTTCGTAGCATTCTCTTAACGTGTCAAAGTAAATTGCAAATGAAGGGAAAATCAGTGCCATCCACTATTGTTAAGTGTCAAGATAATATGTATGACGTTTACCGCATCAGCAGCATAAATCGGAACCATCCACAAGATTCTGAAATAAAACTCGTCAACAATCAGACAAACCTGATAATATGTCTTTGAAGAAGTGGATTGGTGTAATTGATCATGTGTTCAATTATGGTCCATAGTGATATAGGTATTGCCCCTAGAACAAAGAGTCCGGCGACAAACCACGCGCTGACAATTGCTGGAGCTGATTTTTCGTACAACTTTAAAATCAGAAAAGGAAGTGTAATACATATAAGTAAAGAATAGCAAACAACAAATACGGGCTTGATGAAAGCCCGCCAACTCATGTCATTAAGGTCAAATCTGTGCTGAGCGCTTTTCTCGCTTAGGTTAGAAGTGCTCTAAGTGCTTGTTAATGGAATGGTAAAAGCTTGAGCTTTATGAGCTTCTATGTCTGTAAACTATGGGTTATAGATGGCTTTGGATAGTAAATGTATTTATAAATTGACATTCTGAGTCCTTAAGGTTATATCTAACTTGCTCTTGAACGAAATTGTTGAAATCACGTAAAAACGGGAATGAGTACTGACACTTGAAGAGAGTGCTTTGTAAGGCTTTTCGGTAGTTTTTTAACCTGATAGGTTATAACGAGATAGTTTTTGAATATCCAATGCTGCAGGGATTAGATATTCAGTTTCCTCAAGGTCTTCCCAATATAATTATATAGTGACCTACTTTTGTGACGAGAACGCGATTGGTATAATGGAAACAATTGTTATAATAACCATTTGTACCAGTGATTGTTTTGCAGTACTTGTTTGTTTTAGCGTACAAAAAACACTTTCCTTTCCGTTGCTTGTGTCCTTGCACGAACTCGAGTACTCTCAGTAGTTCCGCTTGTAAACTTTGACACGTCTCTGTATTTTTTCAATACTTTCAGATCGCCAACAAATACATTTTATTTCAACAGGCAATAGCCTTCTGATTTTTGGTTTACCGATGGATCCACGTAATCTTGTGATGGTGATCATGGTCAACCACTACTCGACGCCATCTACAATTATGATGGAAGATAATGAACTAATTTGGTGGTTCCACTTTAGATACACTGAAAGTTCTTTTTACTCTTAGTGGGGCTGGATAAAACCAGTAGGAAGTGGGTAAAACGTGGTACCACAAGAGTAACCAAAAGCCAATTATGCCATGTTGAACCAATAAGCAACTAACAGCCGAGATTCCTGAAATTTCTCTTCAAAGTAAACTTTTAATGGAAGATTATTTAAGTCACATTTGTGGTTTTGACCATATGGCGATTGGAATAATTTACAAACTCCAGAGTTAAACATTAGCTCATTGTTATTCTTTAAAATCTGAAGTCGAATCAACCCTCAAGAAGCTGTAAAACATTCTTCGGGTTCCGTTCACGCGTGAATGGCCAACATCACCATCAAACGCGGTGTTCTAGTCAATCAATGGTGGAGAGGGTCTTTTATATAAAATGGATGAACTATATGTTCTAATACTGAACCATGAGCAGTCCTTTGGTAAAATTCTTTATCAATAGACAGTGAGTGACACACCTTAACCTTAAACCGCCATCCGTAGTCACTTCTGATTGTTCCTATGCGTATGATATAAACCAGACGGTTAATAACAGCCGCAGTATCAATCTTCGACTTGTCCGTAAGATGAATGTGACTGACTATATCTAAGGCTTCTGAAAGGCAAATAAATACTACAACAACCTCATCCTTACGACAAAGGATAATGGCTCCTTTATCTATCTCAGTCAATAGATTCGTTTTTCATGAGTGACTGTTTCTAAAACCGTACTCCTGAGGTGTGTAGAAAGTCATGGATGCGTAATAAACATGAAAGCTATCAATGGCCAGAGATCCTATGACCCCAGAGAGTACAGTAAAAAGAGCGGAGTGAACCCACAGAACCGAATTCAGTTTTTAGGGGTTAGGATATTTGAATTGGAAGCTAAGTTGTGGAAGTATGAGTAACCACGTGTAAACCCTTGGAGTTCATTGCTCGAGATTCGAACAGTTTCCACAAAAATGGTGGTGTACGGCAAAGAGCTAATGGGTTCAGTGGATCCATGAAATGCTGTGTTGTTTGTGTTTCGTTTTGTGTGTTTTAGCCTCTATCCCTAGAATTTCAAGCAAACCCATCAGCACTCACTATCAGTAAGCTAATATAGACTTTACAATTGCTTAATATCAGAAAGGGGTTTCCTGGAGATTTTAGTGATTTTATATAGTTGAGATCATGAGTCAAGTGCTCGCGCGTTAGATTGATAGGTCCTAGGTTCGAATCTCGTGAGGTGGGATCGTGGATGTGCACTTCTGAGGAGTCCCACAATAGGGCGAAACGGCCGTCCAGTTCTTCCAGGTTTTCCATGGTGGTCTAGCTTCAATTGAATCATGATCTCATTTATATAAAATTGCCTAATATATTGACAAAAACGTCTATCGTTGATGAAATAATTGTTACGTTTATTGTGGGTGTTTGGATGATAAGTTGTTCTAATTACCCTATTTGTTTAGCGAAAATCAACAGTCACGGTCAAAAATATTCTAGTTTTCCGAATTAAACTAGCTGCCGTCATAGCAAGTATCTAGCTTTTTTTAACATCTCTGCTTACAGATATAGCGACAAAAATATGTAGCGATTTCGATTATGGTTAATTCGCGGTCGAAATACCGACGTCCTCGTGGAGAATGAAATACAGTGCAATTAAATATCCACAGCTGCCAGACCAGAACTAGAGGATAAACAATGGCATAAGAATCCGTTTGTTCGACAATTACAGAAAGCACACTCACTGTCAGGATATCAATTACAAGTGTCTAGACAAAATAATAGGAATGAATGTCTCCATACAGCTAGTTATATCCTTAATTAACAAATCGAACCTTTGATTAGACGCTCAACACGTCAATCTGGTCCGGCGTGTCTGCAGACTATCCCATTTTGCACGTGACCTGCCGATTGAACGATATTATTATCCTTTCAGATTAGTGTGACTCATAATTTCTACTCATTTTGATAAGATAATCAATACTGATCGGTATATTTGTACGTTCCACTTAACGACTATAATTCCTTTAATTAGTGTCCAAATTGAATTATTTCTACGTTCAGAAACAAAGTTTAAAGCCAAGTTGTTCTTGCTCTGACCATAGCTTTCACATAGACTCTAAGTCTTCAGTATCACATTTACAGCTCTGGTAGAATATCTGTAGGATAAATTAAATCATACGCATACTTTTGTTGGGCACTTTTTCTGATTCTAGATTCCGACGAGCCGCAGTTCTCTCACGACACAGACGCAAGTTATTTCACAACATGATGGTCCTGGATGTCGACACGACCAAACAAGATAAATAGTCTGACACAACTCGCTTAACAACTTATTGATATTATTGCAAACTTCTTCAAAGTGACAGACAGTGAAAAGTTAACTCTTACTGAAGCATCATTTTGTTAACCTTAATGATGGTATGAAACGATTGTTTATAAATGTCAAGTGTAATAAATTCAAAAATGAAGTCACAATTATTTATTGGTATTAATGCCAGCTGGTCAGACAGTTTCAACGTGCTACTGTTGAAACCCATTGCAGATATTTCCACTCCTTGATATATATCGTACAAAACCTGTGGACTCATCAGAAGTTTTCTTTCGAAATATAAGCTTAAAAACACAGCCGTAACTTTTAGGGACGTCCCAATAAAGTAGATCAACACTAATTGGTTACGATTTATTTTTCACTGCATCGTGTGTTTTTCCAAACATATCAATATTGTTCTTCATAGAAAAATGAAATAACAACTGTAAAACCAAGCGCTTCTGGAGACTGACTATTATACCCAAATGAAAAACGAATCAACAGTTCGATGAGAAAAATAAATGATATTGGAACAGACAAATTCATCAGTCTAAAGGATGCTGAAAATATGACAAAAACGGAGTTCTGAATTATCTGTTTTCTGACTATCTTAAACTTTGCTTTGTTTTTAATCCAGGAGTAGAGATAGAGCGAACTGGCTCCTTTACAGCTCCATACAGTTGTGTAGAGTTTTTCCTCATCAGTAACTTACTACAATCAAGATTATGTCCTTGTGGATAGCCCGAATAATTTGCTATTCGGTCAATCGCCGAGTGAAGTATTTGGTACAAGTAAGTTGATGTTACGTCTCAATTCTGCTCATTACCGTTGTTGGAGTACGATCAATGTATGTACTCAGAATTTAAGACCTAAATGAAGAGATAATGAAATTCCAATTCTTGTACCAAAAATGTATTCGTAAATTGCGAGCAATCAACCCAAATACATCAATCTGATAATAGCTGAAAATCTCCAAAGGTGAACTTACAATCTTCAGATTTCCAGAGCAAAACTTTCGAGATATCAAACCGAAATAACGTGAAACTATTGGCATTTAAGGGCAAAATATAGGCAAACAAGTTCTCAGTTCGAATAAAGTAAGTATACCTGAAACCACGATACAACAAAAATATGCAAAAAAAAGTTGATTATCAGTCAAACACTTATATTTTCTACTATAATAAGTGACTGATTACATTCAAGTTGATCCTTGCTACACTTTATCATGCACTGCAATAGAATGAATGCCCTGAGATCCTCTCCAAAGCAAATTGTAGTGCGACGTACATGAATGAATCTGTTGAATTTATGTCGAAGTCAATATTAGGCGAACTCACATTTGCTACTAAAATCATAGACCTACTCAACAATTGTAGATTTATCACCATGATACTACCTATTCTGTGAGGTCTTACGTCGCAGCCACAACAATGATTATAGACTCGTCCTATCGTCCATCCCTAATACGAAATTTAGGAATTCTGAAGTAAACGTTTGGGATGGGAAGAAAATTATATATTTAACACGAAAAAGGAAAAGTAATATGAAGTGACCACTCCTTTAAAAACAAGTCATGCCCGTTAAACGTCCCCACGTTCACCATCCCTGACCTGTTTTGTGTTAGAGTTTGAATATGTAGCAACTCAAGTTGTTTGATTAAGAGTAGGCTGCAAATACCTTAGTACTACCACAGTACTATGGCTCAAGTATTCGTTCACTCCATTATTTTTCATTGAAATTATGTTTCATGTTGTTTTACATTCAAAGGCTTTTTATTTTTTTTAAAAGTGAACTTTATGTCTCAGCTTTATGTCTCAACTTTTTCACCACTAGTTTGGTTTTCTACTATCGATAAGTCAAGGAGTACCCACTAGCACCGACAATTCAAATCTTCCCAGTTGTTGTATTTTCGGCTCCAAGAATCACGCGGTTGAGAACATATACAAATAC